ATAGTAGTACCATGTAGCTACATAAGTGGAAGTCTAATATTTTACCCCTCTCATGATTAGATGGTGCACTATATGAACTATTTAAGCCCCATTCCATGTTTTATTTGAAGGAGGCATAATTCAACAGGAGCCTAAATCTAATGGCCATTACCTAACGAAGAAATATCTTAACTTGACGTAACTCAAGTGTCCAGTTAATTTTCTTTCTTACGGTTTTGAAAGCATGCTATTTGTAAATGGTTAAAACTCAGTGGTGTGACAGCCCAAGAGGGCCAGGGCCTATTGTGCCCATCTCAGTTTTCTTGACCTTAGGCTCTGGGGTGCAGCATATGATGTTCCAGTCAGGTGGTCAGCCGAACGCGGAACCCCCAGTGTTTAGTTCCCAAGCATGCTTGGTACTCATTTACCGACCCACTGAAGGGATGAGAGGCTGAGTCAACCTTGCCCGGCCCGAGGATCGAACCAGGGACCAGTGGCACGACAGCGCGAAGCGCTACCGCTCAGCCACAGGGCGTCTTAGTAAATGTAGAGACTTAAAATTCCTCCTTATGATTCCTTTTTTTTTCAAAGATGCTTTTAAAGCCAACATCTACAGTCCCTGCCCAAATAATTAGACGCACTATAAGATGTAAAATCTTAATTATCAGGTGATATTACACAGCTTTATTGTTTTTATGCGGCTGAAACCGGTTTGCACTTGTTTACGTTCGTATATCAATTGGTTAACATTGCAATGCAATACGTTAAAAATAAATACAAATAGAAATAAGTATATAAAAAATCTTTTACATGTATGTTTAAATATAAAAGTATTGCTTATAAACTCGTGCAAAACATGTAATTATTAAAAAAATTCAGTGCGTCTAATTTGGGCTAGTTATTATAATATACTAAATATTCTATATTTATATAATATATCGTCTAATTTGTTCAATCGTTGAATTTATATTATATATCGTCTAATTTAACCAATTCATACAGCGAGCTTAAGCAAGTGCAAACTGGTTTCTGTATAGTATCCCCTGATAATAATGATTTTACATAGAATCTTCTTGTAGTGCGGTCTAATAATTTGGTAAGGGACTGTATGTTCGGCTAATTCTAATTTTTTTATTTGATAAAAAGAGTGAGTCTATCGGCTTAAAATGTAGCTAAACAGTATAGCTAAAATTTTTAATGACTTTTTGAATTTATAAATTTGCGTCCGAGGAACGAATATTAACTAACTTACATTTTTAAAATAATGCCACATATGGCTGTTGTTTGTCTGCCTATGTTTTTTTTTCTCTGCAGAGCAGAAAGCAGACATTCCACCAAGATTTCTGTTTCGCTCTCGAACCATTAAGAAAGAGTCCTAGAACATGAAGATCCGATCTTCAAATCAAAAGTTATTCTGGGGATTCATTTGAAGTATATGTAAATACTGCTGATAATTGCAAAATATGTTTTCATTTTTATAGGAAGATAATTTAGCTGGTGGTTATCGGCATATTGATAACTTTGGAAGAGGAAAATTAGGTGAAATGATTGTCACTTTCTATATCAGACATAAATAAAAACGTCCTCCATTTTGTCTTCTTTCGTATAACTTTGTTAATTGTCATTTTCCTCAAACGAATTTTTGCCGCTATAGCGGAAAGTCAATTTTTTGCTTGTTTTCTTAACTCGTAATAAACAAATAATTTTTGTATCTTAATATTAATGTTTTGAAAGTATCATAATATCTGACTTCTTGCAATGTGAATCTCGATATAACAAGCCCTCACTGTATTTAAATTTGCAAAAATTCGAAATGAAATTTTGATTTAAAGAATAAATATTTGCACTTATTTTAAGTGTATTAAAATTATACTAAACTAGTTATATGCTGCAAAAATATTTCTAAGAAAAAAATTACTATCTTGTTTTTTGTTTTCTTCATTTTAATTTACTATTTTTAATTTAATGCGTTTTTTTAAGTTTTAAAACAATATAAAGGGCTGTGAAAAAGTTTGTTTCTCAAGTATAAATATGTTTAATGGTGATAACTTGACATAATGAACAAATAGGTGCAGGTTCGAATTTCAATAAATACATATGGGTATATCGGGAGTGGCCAAGATCGAATAACGATGACGTGGATTAACTATAGAACATAAACGTGATTCGAGCAGGTGAGTGAATAATTCCAACTATCCATGCGCAAATGTGTCGGAATTTGGAAAAACAGTGTAAAAAAAAAAACCTTAAAGGCGTTACTAGCAATATTTGCTACAGCATATTTCTGCAACTAACGATTCCCTAGTCAACGAAATCGCGCCCTGTTGATATCAGTAAAAATCGTTAAATTCGGTAGTTTTTTCTTTGGGGTAGTCCACAAACTATATACATGGTTCAGGCATAAAATCTTAAGCAAAGAATTAGTTCTTTCAAATTTTTGGGGAATTCTGTTCTTATATGAAAAAGAAATCTCAATTAACAATTTTACATCATCAAATTCTTTATATAGATGGATTCATCGGTCATATGCCTATTTATTACTTCCAGCAAAGGCAGTAACAAATCTTGTAGGGGGAAGAATTATTGATTCATATTTTTCATCCGATTTTAAAATGATCAATTGCAATTAACAATACAGTAAACATATTACAGAATTTTTAATTGATCAATTGAGGTAAATTAAATTATTGCAATAAAAATGTTAAGCATAATATTCATTGGGTTTTCGTTTCAAGGTTGTTAAAACTGTAAATTTAAACTATTTGATTAAGAAGTCTTGAACCAGATTGTAAGTTTTAATAACTATTGGAAAGAGGGAATGCTAATAAATAATGTTTTTTTTTAAGGCAACAGTCCTACAAAAATTTTTTACATTAATTTCAAACTATACAATTTTTAGTGCTATTATAAAATTATACTAAAAACTTAAAATTTTCTGCTTTTAACTAAGTTATTTTGAAATTAAAAATAATATATCTTATAATTAATTTACAATAACATTTACCTTTATTATATTAAATTAAAGCATATTATACTTTTTTTAGTTTGTCAAGTGCCATTTTTAAAAGTGGTTTAGTATACGCCTATTGTTCCAAAATATGTCCCGATTTTTTGTTTGGCCCACTAAGCCTGCATTTTGTCATTTAAAGTCTTGAAAATAAAAACAAGCACATAAGAATTAAAATTTTATTTGCTTTCTTATCAGTGCAAATAATTCATGGCATGAATAATATTTTCCAATAGAACTATAAAATAAATAACAATAGAAAAAAAGGTAGTAACACCTCAAGGCAGTATATATGAAGTATCAGATTAATTTTTTAAGCTTATGGTGTGAATAACATTCTTATAACTCTTTTTATCAATACCCAAAAGAGCAGATCTCACTAATTAAATTTTATAAAATAGTTTAATAATAGAAAACCCCTTCAGATCTGGTATTCAATAGTTTAACACTAAATATTGATCACAAATGCATAAAATTTAATATTTATTAGGATCACAATCTTTTTCTGTTTTAGCATATTCTGCGACCTTATTATGCTTGAAATGGCAACAACATGGTATTCAGTCAACACATTCAAATTTTTTTTGAAGTTTGTATTAAGTAATATCTCCAATACTCATTCCATTTGATCATTATTTAGCTCAGTGTTCTCCCTAAGCGTTTAAAGGTGGGCGGTCAGTCCTGCCTGCCCTTTGATTCCTATAAATGTGCCCTCTTTGTAAATACATGCCACCCATCCCTTAAAAACACTGCTTATTTATTCATATTCCATTTTTTAAAAAACTAATTCACTTTTTAAATAATAATTACACACTGGTAAAATTAGCAGTATTTATAGGTTTGATTCTGATTATTATTACGAATATTAACTTTGCTTGAATTATTCTCAACTCGTTAAATTTTTAATAGTATCTCTTTTACTGAGGGGGGGGGGATATTAATAAATTTTTTAAAAAATTAACTTTAAATGCTTATTTTTTCATAATTTTCAGTTTAAATTATAAAAATCTCTTTCAAATTGTTCATCAATTAATAGTTATTTTTAGTTAACTTTTTTTGAAAAAAAATTTATGCTCAGAGAGACATTAGCATGTCTTTAATTATTTTTATGAACTACAAATTTTTCTCTTATAGAGAAAATTAATGAGAGAGAATCATTTCTTGAAATATACACATAAAGTAGTACAAGAGGGTAATTTAAAAATTGTTGAAGATCATATTCAGTTATTACATAATATTACACATTTTGATAAATTTTTACGGTGCTGAATGAGTGCCCTTTTAAAACTTATAGATAGTGCCTTTTTTGAGAGGCAGCGTGCCCTGCCCTTTTTTATTCTTAGGGAGAACTCTGTTTCGCCCTTTAAAAAAAAAAAAAATTTTTTTTTTTTTCGTTTTATGAACATTTTCAAATTTTCGTCATAAAATTTAGTATTTTGTAAAAATTCTTTCTGAAACTCATGAAATTGAAACAAAAATGTACAGTGTGCAACATAAAAATCAACACTTTCATAATTTTAGATCTAGTGATCAGATTATGGCATACTAATATGCAATTAATTTGTGCAGATGAATGGAATTCTTGACCATCTTTGATGAATTGGAACTCTTGACCATCATATTATGGTAACTGCAAACTGGAAAATACGGTACCTATAGTTTAGGAGAGCAGTCAAAAGTTTGGGTCTCTGAATGTGATTTTCTCTTTTTACATATTTCCCCAGCTCTAAGACTATTGAAGCAAATCTAAACACTTTTGAACACAAAAATAAAACTTATTCACACAAATATAATTATAATTCCAAACAAAAAATAGTTTTATCATTTGATTTAATAATGGTAGAATAAAACTTGAATAATAAAGCAAAAAAAAAAAAAAATTTCATTTTAAACAGTTAAGAAATTTCAAATAAAAAATTACAAAATTTCTGCAAAATCGGCTTAATAGTTTTGGAGTATAATGAAATTTCGAAAAGTTGTAATAATAAATTTTCATACCTCAAGAGCTATTCCACTCAAATCTTGGATTTTGTCAGTCAAAATGATATAATTTTAAATGACGTAAAATTTGCTTATCTAATGATTCAAATATTTTTTTACTATTACTAAAATAAATTATACTAATACAAATCGTTTTTGATGCAGAACTATCTTTTGATACATAAGTTTTAAAATTGCGTAAAAAAAAAAAGATTTTTTCTTTATTCGATGAGCTTAAATATTTTTAAGAAATGGCAAAATATACATGTTGAGCTACAGGGGCCATGTTTTCCTCCCAGATTATGGCAACTCTCTGCAATTTAAGGGCCAAGAATTAAAAAAAAAAAATGCTAATTCTGAGAAAGAACGTTTTTGTGTCTGACTTTGTAATTAGACATTATTGTTTACACAAATTAATTAGTATATTTCAGGCTAACCTCTCAAAGCATTGAAACTGCACTTTACTATGTGCAAATAATAATAAAAAGAAAAAATTGATAAAAAGAAAAATTTGTGCACTGTACATCATTGTAGCATATTAAGTACTAAAGTAAATACTCAATTTGAGCTGAAGGGGTTAAAAATGATCAGCTCTCAAAATGAGAAGAAAAAAAAATGTAAACACTTTGAATTGAAAGAAAATACCTAAATGAATTTTATTATATATATTTTTTCTTTTTAAAAATATACAAAATCACCCAAACAGCATGAAGAATTAGGAACATCTTCAAACAAAAAAAAAAGTATTTTATAAATATAATGGAATATAACTGCAGCATCATTATATTTACAGCNAAAAAAAAAAAAAAAAAAAAAAAAAAAAAAAAAAAAAAAAAAAAAAAAAAAAGATATTCCCCATTTTGATGTCAAAGATGTGAGCATAATTTACAGCACCTTGTTCATTTTAATATAAAACATTGCTTTGTGGTCCTTTTATACAAATGGAATTTCAGGCTCATAATGGAGTCTTTTTAATGTCTATGAGGCACTGTTCACAAAGTGATTTATTTATGATGGGCTGCGTTGATGCACATAAACTTGATTTTCTGACTTTCATTTTTTAGCTGCTTTCTTACCTTTCACCACTACTGGACGACTTTTGATTGTTCCCTTTTTTCTCTTAGATGTCTAGAGAAATAAAGAATTGCGATTATAAAATGAGTTTGATATACTACACCTTTTGAATGACGATTATAAAATGAGTTTGATATACTACACCTTTTGAATGACACGAATAAATTTTTATGGATACATAACGAAAAATAATGCTTATTTATGGGGAAAATAAACAATATTTTCCTTTGAAAATGTAAAAAACAAACATATGTGTTAGATGTAAACTTCCAAACATTTAATTGCGTACAGTAATTTTGTGTTGGTAGGCTGTGACCAATCTGCATCTAAAAGTTAAACGATCACAATATACAGCATATTATCCCAGAGAGTATTTAATGATTTCATTTTTGCTTGAGCTTTGATCAAGAATTCCACAGTAATAGAGTTGATTTATTCAAAATAAATGTTTAAAAATAATAGTATGAAAAAAATGACCAAAATCAGATTTTTTATTCTGAAAATGGCATAATTGTCTCATTTTGAACTATTATTTGAAAATCATAATCAGGGCTCGAAAAAACTCAAAAATTTTACCCGTCCCCGAGGACGGCTCGTCCAACAATGTACCCGTCCCCCTTTGAAACTAACCCGTTGCTTCTAAATAAATAAAAATATAATTTTCTCTTATTTATTACAAACATTTATATAAATTGCACAATGAATTAGTAGTTACTAGGATTACAAATACTAGGATTGCATTATACAGTAACAAAAGGAATACTAGGTTACTAATAGGAACCTAGTATTTCTTTTATAAAATAATTTAAACGACAAATGTCAAGTTAGCTGGAATGTCAATTTATCAGAGGGTACTGCCTTTTTTAAATGAATCAAATATGACGTTTGCTAGTTCCACAATCAAGCTAATGATTTACAGAGGTTTCAGCACAAAAATCTGAAAGGGGTTTTCCATTTAGGTAGATGTTCATAATTTGTTTAAGATCAGTACATAATGTTTTTTTTTCTTTACTTTTTTTTGTAAGTTCATTGCTGAAAAGTCCCTTTTAACCGCTGCAGTACGGGAGACAGAGAAAACATCAATTCCATCATGCGCAGTATGTTGCTGTATTTCTAGATTAGAGGGTCATTTTAGAAGTGAGTCGTTAGACTCTTGTAAGATAACAAAAATTGAAAATGTATCACCAACATTAACGGGAAAATGGCCGTCCGCGCGGACGTCGGATTCGAGAAATTCGTTGTCCGCGGGGAATTTTTGACCGCCGAGGACGGGCGGACGGGTGGTTTTTCGAGCCCTGNTTCCAAAAATTCGATTGAAAATGTGAAAACTAAGCACATAGACGTAAGATATCAGTTTATTAGAAATATGTTAGAAGAAAACTTATTTAAATTGGAGTACATCTGTAGTAAAGACAACTTAGCAGATTTTCTCACGAAACCTTTAAGTAAAGAAAAATTTCAGTATTTTATTGATAAAGTTTATAATGGGGCCGAATGTGGAAATAAGTAGTTTCCATTTATAAACTTTAGTGTTTGAGTTTATTTTTTAGATTCGTTTCCAGGAAGGAAGTGAAGGGAATTCAAGAAACAAGCATTCAATCAATGTGACGTACGAAATCGTTATCTATAAAAGAACGAACAATTTCTTCTTTCACCCCAGTGGAGCGGGATGAGCAGCCTACTCATATTTTGAGTCTTTGGCCGATTGTATGATGATCTGATATTTATATTTGTATATTCAATTAGAATTTTAGATTTAAGTTAACCATTGAAAGTAATAATAAATGTGTTCCAGTTTATTTGTGTACGTCATGATTTTTAGCAAACTCTGCTTTGTGAGTTAAATCCACAGGATTTGAGAAATTCGTTGTCCGCGGGGAATTTTTGACCGCCGAGGACGAGTGGTTTTTCAAGCCTTGATCATAATATAGCATGATAAGGCAAGTTTTTGATTTATGATGACTTGAGAATAAAATCAGAATGATATATTTGTTTCGCTATTTCCTTTATATACAATTTCTTTTCATGCAAAGATTTAATTTCTGCTGTCACTCTCATTTAAATTTCTTTTTCATTAATTTATTACCAAAAGAGAATAATTTCTGAAATCCGATAAATGCTTACAATAATATAATTAGTTAATCATCAACTTCGTAAAGACTTCAGAAGAAAAAAGTTCATTCCAAGCACAGTTTAAGGTGAGTGCAGTTTGCCTATGGCAATAAATTTTCAAGACTTTAAAGACCCAATATTAAATAGTATATATATAAATTGTTATGCCTTGGAAAACGAAATTGTGGTAGCACGTTGCTGCAAAATTTAGTTTCTTTGGGCTTACAAGTTAATGAATAAATTATATGTGCTTTACTATGCTATGCTTTGTCTCAATGCAATAGAGCACAATGCTTAAAAAAGGGAAATCATAAACTAGTTACTCCTACAATATGATCTTATGTATTCTATTTATTAAGTTAAATTATTAAATTTCCACTATTATCTTTTCCTTTTTTTATATTAAAAGGTAAATTTTTTTTACCATTTTTTAAAAAAAATAATATTCCTGTTTATAAATTAATCTTATGCCAGAATAAGAATTAAGTAAAACTTAAAAATTGAAAACAAATTATTTCTATATTATAAAAACTAATAAATGTATTAGAAACAGATTTCATTGAGTATAATTAAAAATTGCTTAATGAGATGAGAGCAAATAAATAAAATAAAACAATAAAAGAGAGTATGGATATAAAATGTATAATATTTTTATCTTTAACACTTTTATTTTATGTATAATATTTTTATCTTTTCCTCAAAATAATTTTAAATTCATACATATATTTAAAAATCAATTTAAATATACAACAAAAACTACACCTGCATAAATTTTGTGACTATAGCCCTAAGTTTCTGACTGTTTTAATACTTACCATACCAGATACAACACTGGGAGCCAATAATTAATTTTCCGTTTTTTTTAAAAATTTTTTTAAAAAAGAATTTTTATCTAATCAAGAAAATAATAAAAAATTTTAAGCCTATTAGTTTTTTTTCCTTCACTTCAAGCTGTTTTTTCATGGTAAAAATTGTTTTACAACACATTGTTTTTAAAGCTATAATGTTATTAGCTGTGCTTTTAAACTATATAAGAGGCCTTCTCTCCTCCAGACTGAACTGTCGAAGAGGAGGAAAAATTTCGAATATGCTGTTGATTTTTTTGTTTAACTTATACAAATAAACTGATAGTGGATGATTACACTTTTCGACAGTTTCCTTTGAAACATGAAAGGCCATCTTCTAATCACAATTTGAGATATAAAGCATGCAGTATTTTAAATTCTCCATTAAGTTTTTTTCTGATAAAAATATACCAATATAACTCTGAAGTCAGCATATTTTGAAAGGTAGTTAAGTATAATACATTAGACTGTTTTTTGGAGTTCTGATAAATATCTTTCTTTCTGTGCAATTTATGTTTAAACATTTTTTACCATCATCCAAATCAGTTTTCATTAGCTCAAACTGCAATAAAATTGAATTAAATTAAGACTGGAAAGAGACCTATCAAGAGAAAGCTCTATACCGCGTGAGTAATTCTGCACGATAAATTTCGTTTCGCCTCCATCGGCATTTTAAAGTTAAGAAATAAGAGTTTAGGTAAACCTGGAGTTAACAATGAAATTTCAAATGAGGAAGAAAAAAAATTTCAAAACATTAAAATGCAAACAAACTATTGCAGAACTAATTCTCTATGGGGTAACTCTGTCATAATTTGTTGGCATTTTGAAATTAGTCTTTCAACATTAGAAACTTTATGGTTTACTCTAGGATTACCAGAATTCAAGTCTTCTATTCTTTTAATTTTACTTTAGTTATGTAAGTTAAAGGATTTGTCAAGAAAGGGTTTCTCCCGCAATATAACGTCCTGTTGATATGAATCATTTTAAAAATTATTTTTTGGGTAGAAATTTATAATAAATGAATTCAAGCTCTTAATTATTAGATTTTTTCTTCTAAGAATTAGAACTTTTCATAGCTTAAATTGTTGAAACTTTTCAAAATATTAGAGAGTTCAAAAATTTGAATTAAAAAAAAATGCCCTTAAATAGAGAATTTTCAATTAAAAACTTAAAATTTTAGTTTTAAAAAAAAAGCCATAAGTATACCAAGAAAAAGATTCTAAAAGAATATAAATATATTCTGAATGCAATTCTTTTTATAAATTACAGTCAGCAAAATAAAATAAATACACTAGTAGCCACTTTAAAATAAAAAGAATTGGAGCGAAGAAGTAATGTTGAGACATACCTTTTTGGATATAAAAAGATTTGAAGATTTGACTTTTCTTTGATTGTAAGGAATGCGTGGTCTATTAGCATCTTTCTTCACATGATAAATCCTAACAAGCCAATGCTCGGTGGTATATGCTTCTTCCAAATGCTCCAATTGAAAATTTTTGTTTCCTATTTCCATACTTCTTGTTCTGTCATATCCAGCGGGAGTGCGAAAATCCAACTGCATTATACATACAAACATAAAAATTAAGCATTGAAAATAACAGGCATGGGATTTCATTAAAAGAAAAAAAAAAGAATACCATGAGAAAGAAAAGCAGTAAAATACATGAAATGTTTCAATAACAAAGAATACTTTGTGTGTAGAAAATTCGTTTACAAAGATTTTTTAAAAGATCTATATGCTACATTTCAAAGAAGAAAATATAAAATGTAATACAGCATAATAATATTTTACTGCAAGTTTTTTAACCTTCTAACAAGAGGATATCACTAATAGATCTACAATTAAAAAAAATAGCATTTAAAAAACATTCAAATTACTTTTGAATAAAATAAATAAATAAACTGACAATGAGCACCTCAGTTTATTTAATATAAAAAATAAAAACTTATAATTATACAAAAAATGAACAGAGTATGACCCTATAATGAATCATTGAAAAATCTTAAATTGCCAGCTTTTATCAACCAATAGATCGATTTTAATTATTTAGTTTATTTTAGACACAATTTTGGTAGTGTAGTTATTTTTCATAAGCAAGACAAAAATGAAAACCAGAAAATTATAAAAACAAATTAGGAAAAGTGGGATACGTGAAAAAAAAAGCAGTAAATTACAGATTTGAGAAAGAATCTCAGGACTGAAATATAATAAATTCTTACTGTTAAATCAATTTCATGCAGGATAGTTAATTTAAAAAAATAAAATATGGGATAACTACAATTTTTGCATAATTATACAACCATATTTATGTGGATATTGTTACATCATTTTTGCCTCATACTAATTCAGCAAAAAAACAAAACTAAGTGTGATTAGTAGAGTCTAATAAAAATATAATTTTGGTGATGTGAATAAAGACAATGCAGTTTTAACGTTTGAGTATAAAAGCAACCAAGTGTTGGATAAAAATTCCCACGATAATGAAATTGCCAGCAATAAGTGGTGCAAGAATATAGTCACACATTAAAAAATTTGTAACAAAATTTCTGCAAGTAACTTAAATTTTGACACAACAAACACTGAAACTTTTTATAGCATGCTTTAAGAATAAATCTGTGGAAAATGAAAACAGTACATTAAGGACTTTAAAACAAGAGTCATACTTTATACGCTACTATTAACTTTGCACATTCATACTTAATCAAATTTTCTTAAAATAAATTACAATTTTTTAAAAGCATTTTTATGTATAATTGCGTTTCTAAAGGTATAAATTATAAATAAAAAGTATATTTTTGAGATCATATTTAATATAAAATAGGCAACAATGGCATTAAATGCTGATAGTGTGTATCAGCCAAATTATTGCTCAAATTACTATTTGATAAATTTACCTATCCTTTTATGAAAGCGAAATATATATGTTATTAATCCTTCACCTTTAGTAAAATAGAAATCATAAAGAGAAAAAAATTAGTGTTTAAAGTTACATGCAATAAAGAAATGAAAAATTACAATTTAAAAATTCATTTTCAATGTATTCTTACTTGAAACTCCCCAAAACGGTAATAGCTTAATTTATACATCAAGCAATTCAGTAAAGTTGGTGATCCATGTTCATCAACTCTAAATTCTCCTCGACTAGTATAGTAATCAGTTTCCTACAAAGAAAGAGTATTATTTTAAGTATTTCCCTTAACCAAGCATGAGAAATCTTTTGTCCTATTTCATGAACCAATTGCAATTAATAATGATACCCTTTTCTGATATGACTAGGGAAACAATGGGAAATACTTGCGAAACTTTTTCCTAATATTAAATAACGAAGCACAAAGATTTTGTGGAGCTGTTGATTCTTATATGTCTCGATGAAGTTGTCTTTTTATCATGAAATGATGAAATAAATAATATTCAGTAGCCTGCTTAACCCCCCATATCATTATATTGATAATGTAATATAGATAGTCTCATACAAGTCTTTCTATGTTAATTCATAGCTTTAAATAAACTTTCTTATTAATTTTATATTTAGAAATAGTTTTTTCATAAAGAGCCATATAAATTAAATATTCCAATTAAAAGAATATTTCTGAAATTAATGGGTAATAATTCTTAGAAATATACTTATTAAGAAAAATCCCTGCAGTCTATAAGGCATCATTTGTTAAAACAAATAAAGTAGTTTAGATTTTCTCCTTTAGATGGCAGTCTATTACATTAATAAATAAACATTGAAAAACACTTTGTGACAACTGGGCCATTAAATTAGCTTCTTGAGAAAATGTTAGTTACTTTAAAATTTTGCTAGGGCAAGTCAACAACAAAAGGAAAATCCAAATGATTCTAATTTGAAATCCATTGGGGTTTCTATGCACAAATCTTCACAGCAAAGTCTCTATTTGTGATTACAACAAATCATCTGAAATCATAATACAGTAGAGAATCAATTATTTGGAATGCAGCCGCTCTTTTACATTTGATTGAACAAGAAAAAGAATCCCACCTTCACGTTCCCAACTATTCAGCTTTAAAGATGACTTAGTCCTCCTAGTTCAAAATGGCAGGGAAAACTTTTCCGGCTTTGTGAACACCGAATGAAAGATTTTATATTGCACTGCTTATTATATTCTTATTTAATTATTAAATAAAAAATAGTATTTCAGCCGTTTTTGCATTTTTTATGTATTTCCACCAATCTTCTTTTATTCAATTATATTTACAACAAGAATAGTGAAACATTATTTTAGTATTCCCTCTTCTAAATTTAAGAGAAAACGAAATTAGCATGCCACTCCTTTAAGTTTGATGGACGACAACTCATCGAAAACCACTGTCTCTTTCATGCACACAAGAGAAAATATAGAATTTTCCTTGTTCAAATAAATGTTAATTTTTTAAAATCCTTAAAACTGTAAAATTATTCAGTATAATATTATTACGTCACACACATCCATTTTTGCTTTCAATCCAAAGTAACGAACAAATCAAACGAGCTTCAGTAATATAGTAAGAACCGGTCATAAAAGATTCCTCTATTTACGCTTCAAATTTCATGTTTTGCAGTCTGGCAGGGTTGTTGCGAAAATATTTTAAATCATTCTTGGGGTATTCAGGAATGTGAAAGTTTGTTTCAATTCACTACTTCCCATGCAGCATGAAGGGGCAAATAAACGTTAAAAATACGTTCGTTCGGTATAAGGTTTTGGACTTAACGTTAAAATTACGTCAATCTCACGTGATGATTTTCACCATTTCTTCATTNATACATTTTTTACTTAACATATTTTTTGCTCAATGCGTTTTATTTTTGTTTCTTTTTCTTTTTTTGGTTGCTCCCCACACTATTGTATTGATATATTTTACTTTGGTTACATTAATACAATATTAATAAGCACTCCTTTTTGTGGATATAATCGTGTGAGCTGATGACAAGATATCATTTCATTATTTTGTTTTCTAGCTTTTTAATATTTTTTTAAAAAATATTTTATTTCATTGATTTTTCTTCTTCTTTCATTAATCTTTATTATATCATTTTTCATCTTTTCTCTACATTTTAAACTTTATATATATAAACATATAAGATCAAACAAGACAAACTTACCTTTATATCTTTAGGGTGCTCTCCTTCAGCAATTCTGACCATCCACAAGAACTTATTAATATCATCACCCGAATACCCAATAACACCTCCAAAGATTACAAGAACATAATCAACGTCTAAGGACTTCATTATCTCATAAGCAGCACTTTCATTTGAAGCCATCGCTTTCCCAACCTTCAACAAAAATGATGCCAAAGATTAACAACTATACTTGTTCGAAAACAATTTTCCTGCAATAGCACAAAAAAGAAGAAAAATTACCAGAGCAATATGACTGTTATTCCAAGTATTATTATCTACTAATGTTGTACGATTTGCCATGCCAGCAATTTGATAACCATAATCCCACCAAGACATAACTCTTGCATCTGGAGCAGTGTTTTGGGAAAGCCAATAGTAAGCCTCACGGAAATCATCCAGAATTAAACGAGACCTGAAAATAAATATCATATCAGTCAGTCTACTTTTGGAGGTTAAAGACATTTTTCTTCAATCCAGCTTGATTGTTTACAAGGAGAAAAATCCTCTTCTTAAAGAGAGTTTCTTCATTGCTACAATATTCTGTTTAATTTTAAAATATTTCTTTTTTCAATAAGATAAAAAATTATACCATGGTGCTTATTGTGTCTAACTGTATTATTTTAAAATAACCAAAAATTGAGAAATTTTTTTATATCAAGTTTTAATTTTTATTAGAAATTAATTGTATCAATACTAGTTCGATTGCACACCTATGGCATTTTTGATAAGCAACTGAGTTTGTGATGAATAAAGACTCCTTTCACCCATTGTGTTTCCTATTAAAAAAACCAATATTTTCCTTTGTTATTCAATGAGTAGGCCTCAATGACAAGTTAAGAGGACGCTATACAGCAGAAGAAACTTTTCATGACAAATCCTGTTTAACATCTATTGGCACTTTAAAATTTCTTGACATGCCATATTACAAGACGAAGGGGATAAATATAGCAACTACTGTAATAGAACTATTCTATAAGTAAATGGAATTTAACTGTAATTGTACTAAGAAGCGTTTTAGTTAAGTGCACATTTTACACTTATGTTACATGAACTTCTAACAGTTTTTTCCCAAAAAATATCTTGCAATAAAACCAATTTAACGGTTTTGTGAACTATTAAAAAACAACAAATTAAATTTTCGATTCAAGAAGATTAATTGTACCTTAAGTACCACCCAGAAAGTTCAATAATGCTAACAAAAAATCAAAAAATAAAAATTATTTACCCATCAGCACTATAACTTGCTAAAACTATACTTGGACTTGAATAAGCATTACTGGTTACCCAAGTACAATGGACGGCAAACATCATTAAAATCATCATCAATAGTAAAACTACGATTCCTCGAATATTTGTACCAATGCCAATGTTGTCTCTCGACTGATCAGTTTTTATCTTTCGTATTTTTCCTGCCTGTAAAAAAGAAAACATTTTCTGGCATGAGACATAGAGAAATAGAATAAAAATCCTGCCAAAAAACAACATAACACTGAGTATAAGTAGTTGAGTGAATTTATTTTCAAAAATATTTAAAAATTGATTAATGATAAGTACTAATGTAAAAAAAGAATTAAAAAAAATTTCCATTTAAATTCTGAAATTGGGATAGGCATTATTAATTTCCTACCAGAATTTTTTCTTTCATTTTTTATTGTATACAATGCTTGCTAAACTTAAAAGTTCCGATTTAGCAGTCAAATATTTGGCTGCATATGAACCCAATCCTATATATCCGTAATTTTTCTAACGTTTACTTAGTTCATAATCCACAGGTAGTTTGAGACACATATTAATTAATAGACTTCAAGTTAAATATTAATTCATCATTATTGAACATCAGTAGTAGTTTCAAACGAAAAAAGTTTTTTGACCTTCATTAGAAAGGTCATTCTTGACTTATAACCATACACATACCTACAATCGTCAAATAGACAATTTTTGTTTACCGTAGTTATGCATTGCACATAAAATATCTATATTTTTATTTAGATATTTTATGTGCAATGCATAACATTCAATAGGTATGTTATATTTGTTAATAATTGTTGTAAATGGATTGTTAACTAGCATATGAGTAGTTATTTAAAAGGTTTTATAAAACCTATTATGCAAATACTTTAATAAAACAAAAATTGACTATACCTTATCATACAAATTCTTGCCTTTCTTGTCAGTTCCATCACTTTCTTCAGAGTCACTATCTGACGATGAGGATGAAGTCTTTGGGGATTCATCGTCTTGCAAATATAACTCAATACACTGCGAAAAGGCTATTGCACTAAGTACGCAAACTACTGGAGTCAACGTCAACATTAGTCTAACCATGACACCAGCAAAATATACTGCAGTTATAGCATATAAAATAACTAGAAAGAAAAAAAAACAGAAATTTTTAATATGCACAAAATAGTGTGAATTTTGATAACTTTACGCAACAATAGAATAATACTGAAAAATATGTAGAGAAAAATCAAAATAAATGTATAGAGAATAGAATATACAGAATGATTTATCTCAGCACTTATAAATTTGGAGGGATAATAGGGCACATTATAAAAACCATCTCACATCACCCTACAGGCAGCAATATCATCACATGCCACTAAGAGGATTTCTTACTATGGTCCTGCTGTCCATGCGCAGTTGGACCAGTACTTTTATTTGTTGAAATTGTCACAGATATTTGCCTTATAAAATAAAATTTTCCAAAAATTGCATTCAAACGAGCCTAGATTGGAGCTGTTTTATCATAGTTTAATGATTTAGCGATTAATTTGCTGAGCTCCCTGATTTGATTTCATCAAATTAGTAAATTACGATAAAACACCTGATTTTGGGCCTATTTGAATGGAATTTTTGACAATTATTAGAAAACACGAATGAGAAGCTAGGCTACAATTAAATTCTTATATGCATTGGTTACTGTGCAATTTTCTTCCATGGGTTAATATGTGATTCTCAATACTTCAATATGCCCTATTTCCCCTACAAGTTTGCAACATTTATACTGAATAAAATATCGAAAAATACTTACTGAATACTCGCTCATCATTTAAATTTTGAATACAATACCACAATCCAACAGGGAATGTAGCACTAAGAACATGCAAGTCGAAGAAAAATGTAAACCAAGTAGTTGGTTGATGCTCTGATACCGATGCAATGATTGGAATGTGTATTTTAGCATAACCTGTGTCCCATAAGGAATAAAATCTACCACTCCAAGGAGCTATATAGCCTGAAAATATAATATTTCTTTTAAAAAAATTATATTTAAACAATGATTCATTCATAATTATAAATAGATTTTTGATTTCACAATCATTTGAAATTATAAAAAAATGAAATTTTTATATCACAAAGTTATTTAAATTTACGGAGAAATTGAGGCGTTTTATTAGATATAGTGTTAGGTAATTTCATAATACCAAAAGAAGTCCAACATTTGTTATTAAATGCAATTAATTACTCTGAAATTAATTTTAAAAAGAAAATAATGTTTTTTAAATGCCTAGCAACATTAGCACACAGAATGACATTTTATTCAATTAAGTATTTCTGGAAATTTTGCACTTATTCATTATTAAACATATAACTACCCGAGATACGACAAATATGCAGCAGTAAATTTGAATATCAATTATATCCAGCTGAATTGAAACTATAAGCTTATATTTGTTGTTGAAATAAAATAATTAAATATTAGTACAAGATTTCTGTTAATTTATAAGCTTACTATCACTGGATTAATTAATTCACAACAAAACATTTTTTAAAAAATGTGCGATGCGTCTTCAAAATATCCGAAGCAATTAGGACCAGACTTATTTGCGATAATTAAAATATTCAAACTGTACAGATAAAATTACTTATTAATTGAATTTTCATTAATAAACTCTAAAAATATTTTGTATTTTTAATAATAGTTCCTATTTAGGGGTGCACAAACTGCATGCCACATGTGGCCATCCAGTTGTTGAAGTATGGCCAGCAAGCAAGAAATATTCATTATACTTTTTTCTTCTTTTTTTGAAAAGGAACAAAGTCAGAAATTTTGATTTGCACATTTGAGACATCACTTTCAAAATTTCTCAAATTACACAGATTCCATCATTCTGTGCAGTTTTTCGTCAATTACTGTTATGGATTTGCACATCGTTGTAAAAATTCTGATATTTTTTATAAGTATTAAGACACTTGAATTGTGTATTAAAAGAGAGCTTTATTTGTGCTGATTTTGCTACGAGCCAAAAGAATTTTTTTTATTTTTCTTTTGGCAGTCGCTGCTACGCATTTGCAAGAGGTTTTGAAAATCTTTAGATTTTTTATTACAATATTTTTACAATTTTAAAGTTTTAAATCGTGAATATTCACTTTCGACAGGCTTTATTTGTGCCAATTGACAGTTCAAGTCATTATTTGTGCCAATTGGCAATCCAAGTCATTTTTTGATCGCTTTGGCAGCTAAATAATTTTCTTAATTTGTGATTTCACTTTTAATCTACTGTATGATTGATCTTGGGCAGTTCATGTATTTTTGGGCAGTCTACTAATTTCCACATGGTTCTTTGAAGATCTTAATATTTTTAATACAACATTATTACAACACACGAAATTTTGTGCATGAGTAAAGTACGGTTTACTGTTTTTTAAAAAACTTTATTTAAATTCTTTGGTAGCTGAAAAAACTGTCTAAGATTTAATATTCATAAAATCTCTAAAAACTCATTTACAATAATTGTTCTATAGTTAAAAAATAAGTCCCCAACTAATTTTGAGCTATAACGTGCTTGTTTTAAATCATTTTAGACAACCATAAAATTTCTTTAATTAAAATATTTAATTTGCATTTATGTTGTTCAAGATAAATATTTATTAATTTTACTTTTATTTTATGAACACTACAGTATATTATCTTTTAAATAAACCTTTGCATTATGTGATATAATAAAAAAAATATTACTTTTCCTCCATCTCTATTTTTTTTAATACTAGTTTTTTTTGATATTTACTTTTTGACTCAAAGGAATTTTTTTTTTTTTTAAAGAAGTATCAGTTTGGTATTTTTGAGGTAACATTTAACTAATTTAAAAACATTTAATTTTTTCAAATATATTACTAGGTTGATTTAGAAAAAGAATTTAGTATCTAAAATAATGTTTATTTAAAAATTACCATAATTACAGTCAACATGTCTAAATAATTGGGAAGGCGATTCTTCATTGGACAACCAAAACAATTTTATCTACAAGTGGCCTTTCACTAAAAAGGTTGTGCACCCCTATTCTATATAGTAATTTAATTTCAATATAATTGGTTAATAAATGTCTTTTCATCAAATAGGTATAAATATATTATATTTTAAAATTTACTTACAATGAAGTTTTTTTAAAAAGACAAACGTAAGAGAGAAAAAAAAGACTAACATAAAAATGTAATTAATATACGATTTCTTTTTTGTGGAACTGAATTATGACAGCATATTATTGAAAGGGGAAAAAAAATTTAAGTGTAAAAAAAGTCTGAATTGGCATTGGTTAACAAAATGGAGGTTCTAATTACTATAAACAAATTGTAAATCATTAAAAAAAATATATTTTTGCTAAGAAATAATTTTTAAAATATTTGAAAAATTATAAATGTGATTTATAAAAGTTAAATCACATATACCCATAGGCATCAGCTTTAGTCCTTTTTAACACTTACTTGTATTCATTAATAATTTTATAAATAATATAACGCCCAGTAAATGTTTTATTTAAAAATCTGATTAATTAATATAAAAGTAGAAAAAGCAGACAAAATTAAAATATTTAATTTGTCACACTTAAAGTTACCAACAGACGATTTAAGCTTATTCTGAGTAGGTTCGACACATTGAGGGAATCATTATCATAATTATTATTTTAATTAGACAGGAATCAAATAGTTCTTTCTACTTACAAAAAATATTAGCACTTACCACCATAAGTCAGCACAACAACTCCAAGAAATACTGAAAGACCGATGGCAGTAACAGCAAAAATGAAAACAGTTTTTAACTCAGATTTTGTCAAAAAGGATTGAAGGTATTTGAGAAAGGCATATGCATTGATCAGAATAAAAACACCTATAATACAGAATGACAATTAGTTTAAGAGTATGACTAGAAAATTATTATTCCTTTGAACAAATCAGTGTGTTGTTATTACCAGCTGATGCCATGTGTTCACTTGTTCTAACAGGTTGAAATCCTACAAAAGGTATTTGCATAGACAAAAGAAGACCAAGGATGAAGAAGGTTGTATAAGCTGAAAAATAAAGAGTATTTCAACTAAATTAAATTACTAGTGATTTTTTTTGTCGAAATTACAATAAAAATGCATTAAAATATACACCTTTTTTTGACAAGTTCAACAGAATATTTTGACTTTTGTGACCTAATCCTACTAGTTAGTAGAATATTTTTCACATGTTTTATATGCTATTTTTTGGATCAACTAATACAACATTATGAACAAACAGGGTCCAGTCCAGTATTTCAACTGAACTGAATTACTATTAATAATTATGTTTCTTTATGGTCAAAATAACAATAAAAATGCATTAAAAAAAAATTTTTTTTTTTTGATAACTTCAACAGAAAGTTTGTGACCCAAACCTACTAGGTAGGAATATTTTACATATTCTTTTGATTAACTATTACAACTTTATGAACAATCAGGGACCAGTAAAATACGCAAGTGAAAAAGTGCTACAGACATTTCTTTAACCCTAAATTAAACTGAAAGCATTAGGTACAGACCTGGTTAGGTCATAGTTTGGGAAGTAGAAAACACAACTTTTTGTTTCTACTTTGGAAGTGGGAACACATTTAGTCCAGTTCATTGTTGTTGTTAATTTACGTCGCACTAGAGCTGCACACTGGGCTATTGGCGACAGTCTGGGAAGCATCCCGGAGGATGATCCAAAGACATGCCATCACAATTTTGATCCTCTGCGGAGGGGATGGCACCCTCGCTTCGGTAGCCCGACGACCTGCACGCGAAGTCAAGGACTTTACGGTAGCACAGTTTAACGAGGACCAATACTGCACACCCTCGGTCCCTACGCAGACTGATCCAAGTGGTCACCCACCCGCACACTGACCGTAGCCAGTGATGCTTGACTTTGGTGATCTGCTGGGACTGATCTTAACGATCAGTCCACTGCGGGACTAGTCCAGTTCATAAAAGAGAGTGCAACAGTGAATCGATTAATAAAAAAGCATATTTCAAGTTCCAAGTGAAATCACATTCCATCCCCATATATTAGACGGCTAATAATTCTATTGCATTAAAAATCATCTACATGTGCCCATGTCATCACTATTAGGTTATGGCACTAAGAAACTTACAGAAAGCTTGTGAACAATTTTACTTCTTTGCCACCATCCTTTATATTCCTATCTCTTACACTCCCGTGATTGTGACATACTATCAGTCTCATCTGGTGGCTTCCAGAAATATTTTCAATGAGTGATAAAATTCTACAGATGAAATTTTCACTTCAGTTCCATTTCTGTGGATCTGAACCATCCTTAATTTATGGACATGAGTCTATATGTGCATTTCCACTATTAGATATAAGACTATGCAAATTGCAAATCTTTTAAAGACTAAAGACAATATATTTTAAAAAAATACTACATGTACAGTGTGTCAGTGATGACGGTTTACACCAACATTTTAAGTATCCACTGAACAAGAATTAAGATTAGAGATAATTTATTATGATCTAAAACATAAAATATTTTTTTAAAGTAATAAAAAAATTAAATTTTTATATCTAACTAATATAATACTTTCATACATATAGGAACTACAGTTTGAGTACATCTAGAATATGAAGCAGTTCGCAAAATCTGGGTTGACAGCAATTCTGGATTATTGAATACTGAAAATATCTTATTTCTATAATATTTTATTTTCAGTAAAAAGGATTGCTGTTTAGTAAAACAGAATGTTAAAACTAAAAAGTCAAAATAATAATAGGAAAAAGACTAGATAGTTGTCTATACAATCTTTTTAAATATGAACAAAATAAATGATAAAATGACTCTTTTGTTGAACCTCAATGTCCCTCACTTTCTCAATGCTCCAATGAGTCAAGATTTAAAACAATTTATTTAGTAATAAAGACAGTGAATATGAAAATATATTTTACACTTAAAACATCACTAAAAGAACTTACCAACATATATCCTACTAGAAAATCTTCCCATGAGTAAGAGTACAAATACATGAAGTGGTATTAAATTAATGATGAAAACATATCCACCCCATGCAGAAACCTATAACAAAAAAAAAACAGTAAGTTTTAAAAAAAATAAAAAAATTATGATTAGATTTTTGGAAATATATTATTTTCATACCATGTAAAAATATGCAAGAGCTGAAAGAACAGACCAAAATATTGTGCCAGTTTTCACAGCTTTCACCTATAATAATAAAGTTTACATTGATAAAAAAAAAAAATTTATAATTGAAAGATTAATAAGGAGTATTATATATATATTATTACAAATAGATGTTCACACAAGCTTAATATATAATTATAAATTTATTCTGTTTTCAGAAAAACAACCTTTATGAGAAGGGTGGGGGGAATAATAATAGAAATTCTCCGAATTTAAAATCTATCCATGTATGCATAACAAAAAAATAGCATTTAATTTTAACATTTAACTTGCATTAATTGAACAAAGTATTTTTTGGTTAGAATGCCTACAAATAAAGATATAAGATAAAGAAAATTTTAAAATGGAAAAAAAAAAATTTAAAACTATATACAATGCTTTTCAAAGCTAAAATCCATGCAAATACAGTTATCAAAAATAATTTATCCTAAAAAACATAGCAAAATATGTATTCATTAAGAATCTGGAAATTATGCTGGATTTATTTTAAACGGGAGTAGAAATTAAGAAAAATCAGTTCGAAGGAATTATAGAAAATATCACTAGTCCTTACACATTTTCACTGGTCTATTTACATGCCCCTGTTAGATTTTTTTGAAGTTAATAAAGTGAATTTAAGTAAAAAAAAAATTCAACATTGACTGAGAAAGTGTAATGTACCATGGTTAAGACGGAATATGTTATTTTTGTTGTTGTCAAAAGCTCATAAAACTATTACAGCATATTATCCCTTTACATCGACAGCTAATCTGAGACACCTGAAAATTATTTTATGGTGATTTAAGTAAACTTTTAGTGGCCCAGGACCAACTTTAATTTTGATCCTTCTTAAATATATAAAAGTAGGTGGTTCTAAACTCAAAAGTAAATAGCAAATTTACTTAAAGGAAATTCTTTTCTTATAAAAATATAGATAAAAATGCACATTGAAAATTTTATATAGCAAATAAAAATAATTTTTCATTCGCAAAAATTTGTTTAAGCCATTTCAAATCCTGTATGTTTTTAAAAAAGTTTAGATAGAATTCTAAAAATTTAAGAGATAACAAACTAATTTAAAATCAATTAACAAAAAAAATATAGATCTTATATTATTTAGAATGAAATGTAAAAAAAAAAATTTTTTGTCATAAAAAGGAGAAAAAATTTAAACACTTACCCATAAGTAGTAAGTAAACATCAACGCAAAAATTGCAATTCCTTCATTATCGTAGCTCCCAGCAACAGATCGACTGATATAACCAGGTACTGTAATAAAAGCAAAATTTAAAATTATATTGATTGCTAACTGAAGCAAGACTAGGCACTTAATAAAGAGCATTTCAGAAAAATTGGCACACATAAAGCAACAAAGTTTAAAATAATACCATATTTTCCTATACATCTCAACTTCAGTTAATAAATTCAAAGTAATGAGCTGTTATCAATGTAGGGATTTTAGCTAGGCAGGGGTAAGATATCAATATTCCACATGTATTTTCACTGGTCCATTTGCAAATTTCTATTAATTTTTTTAAAGAAAAGTTAATAAAGTGAATTTAACGTAAATATTACAATGCAAAGAATGTGTATGATCAAATATACTATTTTGCTACAGAAATAGACCAAAATGTAAACAAAAAACCAAAACAGCAACCTATCTATTTACATCAATTGCTAGTCCAAGGATGACTAATTGAGTTAATTTTTTAAACAAATTTTAGTCGCCCAGGCCAGGGTTGGCATGTTCAAATTTACATGATTTTTTTAATAATTAACTTATTATTTTAAATTTACATGATTAACCAATTACCATAATTAACATAGTTACCATCAATAATAGTATGATAATTTTTAAAGATTCTATTTGCACTAAATACAACTTTATTATGTTTCTATACGACCTATAAACTGGCGTCAATAATGGTTTGTTTTCCTAAACAAACTATCCCATTTTTTAATTATTTCTGTTTTCTTCCTTATTCTGCTTGTCCACTGAAAGTGTAAAGCAAGCATTTGTAGCCAACAATATAAAACAATTAAAGCCAGGAAACAAAAAAGCACAGCCCAGTTTATAAGTACATCTGATTCTGAGGCATTTGATTATATGTAAACGAATGAAAATAGTTTTTCCTTTTCTGAGAAGGAAGATAATGAGGTACAAAAATAATAAATATCTTTTTTTTTTTTCAGTTAATTTATTTTTAGTGTAGATTTTCTCTAATACAATTTATTTTAAATGTTTTTGAAACAAATAAATAAACATTGTATAATACTAAAAAAAGCATTTTCATATATAAGAAGAAAAATCTATAAATTAATCTCCAAAAATTGACTTTAGGAAAATATTCTCCTTCTCAGTAAATTTTTGCCCCTCACATCTTTAATTACAATCTTTTAAAATTTATAGGTAATAAAAAAATATTGCTTACCAATGGCAATAAAACAGGCGGCAAATAGACCAGAGGATTCATTCCACAATTCCTTTGTTAAGAAGTATGTGGATATTGCAGTTAATCCACTAGTAGGAAGAAAATATTAAGTCACAAGAAACAGATAAGAAGTACCAGATTTAAAATTTTTATTTTAATATTTAAAAAAAAAAAAACATGAAGTTTTTTTGGGGAAAAAACATTGAAGTTTTTTTCAACCAGTAAATTATTTAATCATTTTTAAAGGCTATTTTTGTAAGTTACTTATTTTCCTCTTTTTATATTATTCTCTACTATTAATTATAGCTTGATTTATATTTCTCTATTTATTATGGCTTGATCTCGATTTCTTTGGCTGGCTTGATTAATTGGCTATTAAGAGGAATTTTTTAACCATATAAAATGATTATGTTATTAGGTAATATTTTACGAAAAACATATTGAAAGTTGTATGTAACTTAATCATTTTACAATTATTAAACAAGATAGATATTTGTTTAAATAATAAGTTTTATATAAAACAGTTTCCCAACAAAGTTAGCAGTTAAAATAACAAATACTAAAATGTTATTAGAAAATAACTTTACACAATATTACTAAACAATACATTAGCGAAAAAGATTTAAATAATTTAATAGTCACCAAAAGTTGAATAGGAATTGAAAGAAGAAAAAAAAATTGTAGATTAAGTTGTAAGAGTAACCAAGCAAAAATTTGAATTTTATCCCAATAGACACTGCCACTAAATCTGTGTTAATGCAATAAAAAGTTTTGGGATCTTTTAATTGAATGATTTGAAATTTTTATATAACAACCTGTTTGTCGTTAGGAAATAAACATAGTGTTTTAGCAATCTAAAACTTCCCCAAAAAGTGTTTACATTGCAACAAAACAAGTTATAAATAAATAGTCACCACACATTTAATTTTCTTGTTAGAAGCAAATTCTGAAATCTTATTAAAGACTTGATTTAGGAATAAAAGTTTAAAACATTTATGAAAAATCCCGAAGTTTTTTTAAAACCCTGCTTTAAACGTAAGAGATAAAATAGTTGTTGCCACAATCATGATTTTAACTTTCATCATAAAACCTTTTACAAGTTCTTTATATTTTTCAAAAGATATAAATCATAACTAAAACTTTTATTATGTAAATTTTTTTTTTATATTTTTGTGACTTGTGCTTGTTGGCAATTAAAACTTGCATTGTTCTTTTATGTTTTTTTAATGGGAATGGAATTTTTCCTTTATATTTGTTGTTAATCAAAAATTATGATAAAGCTGTCTAATGATTTTCATAAATTTTTAAAGTCCTTACATATAAGTAACATACTATACGATTCTCATTGATAAATTCTTGTCTTAGCATAGCGTTATTTTGAATGATTAAATAAGCATTATATGTGTGTGTGCATATGAAAAAGAATATATCTTCTATTAGATCATCTCATTTACATTATAGATCAGATCATTTATATTATCTATTAGATCAATATCAGATTTTGAACTTTAAAGACAACTGATATCAAAATTTTGGTTTTAATTCTTTGCCAAATTATTCCTAATTTAATTGCTAATTATAAATTTTTTCTAATCACACAATATTTACTTTTTATAAAAATATTTAAAAAAAGGGATAACATTTTAAACTGGGATTAAATCTAATGAAATAGGTCTCAGAAATTTAGAAGTCCTGGGTCTTCTAAAGTATTGTACTTTCCTGAATCCTATGAAACTGAGCAGTAATATTTAGACATTCAAGAGTTACACATTTAATATAGTTAAGAAATTGTACTTATCAATAAGAATATATGTACATGTATCAAGAGAATAAGAATATATATATATTTAGTAATATATCTGGTTATATCTTTTAATTGTGTTCAGACACCTACAGATTCTCTTATCAAGAAATTAAATTGCTAAAGTGATCACTTTATAAAAAATAAATCAAATAAAAATTAATCATTAATAAAGTTTTAAAATACTAATCCATAATTCAAAATGCAACATAATTTTTACACACCTAATTACAGGAGCAAGAAAAACACAGATATCTCTAATGTGAACTGTAATGTTAAGTAATGATAGGACATAATGAATAGTTCCTGATGTTACCATTAACCCAGGATAAACCTAAAAAAGAATCAATAAATTTAGAAATAATCCTACATAAGCTATATATATTTAAAAGAATATTTATTAAAAGGAAGTTAAGGAGTTTTGTAATGAGACAAAAAAAAGAAAAAGAAGAAGATTGCAAACGTGAATGAAAGTTGCAGTCGCATTAGACACTAATATGTTAACAAAAAATTTAATTTAAAAAAATACTATATGAGCACATGGAAAATCATAATATGTTAAAGAAATCCCTTTCTAAAAACCTTAATTTTTATACAAACTAAATAAAATTGAGAGAGGTTTATTTTTTATATAAGATTTTTTTTCAAGTGTACTTAAAGGTTGGAATTTTTACATCAGATAAAATATATTTTATTTGGAATCAATAGAAATTTCCAACTAACTGACTACAATGGTAAACTTTGAAATAATTTCAAATCAACAATTATTGATAACAGAAAAGCTAAAAATTTAAGCTCAGCACTGAAAAACAGAATTACTGAAAGAAAATATGAAATTTTCAGATAAAACATGGATTTGTCGAAAACACAGCAGAATAAAGGAGAAAAATAAAATGGACAAATCGGCTTTAGAGGAGAAAAATTTCAGCCCTGAAATTATCCAAAATCCACCAAGCCTCTCAAATGAGAGAATTCCAGAGAGTCAGCAGTACAATAAGAAATGTTAAGAAAAATGTTGAATAATACATTTTATTATTTTAATTTCAAGAAAACTTATTCTTACTTTCATGATTTAGCAATAAATTAGAAAGAAACTTATCTTATGCTTAAAAAAAGTGATTAAATATTAAATAAGGAAAAAAAACACAATGCAATTGACATTCATCAAAATCTGAAGAGAAAATTCCAATTCGATTTCTGATCTTCTTAAAAGAATGACAGATGTTGGCAATCTGGCATTAAACAAATGATATGTCAAAAAACAACAATCCAACAAAATACTGTACAAAAACAAATTTGAAAATAGCTTTAGAATAAGGCCACATTTTTAAAAGAGCTGCATGCTCCTGCATTTAATTGATTAATTTTATTCATTTAATAGAATATTGGGGTAATTTCGAGAAAAGTAAGACAGAGAGCATGAATTTTTTTTCTCCTTCAAATTTAATTGACATATTCAATATAATTTTTTGGTTACCAAAAGTACAAAGAAAACTAAACTGGAAGAATTTTTCATATTTCTTTTAATTTCTTTTTGGTAAATGGTCTGAAAAACAACATTTCAGACCAAAAATTTATGAATTTTAATGACGATTTCCAAATACTATTTCAAACAGTAATTTTGTTAAAGTATTTTTTTTTTTAATACAGTACACTCTTGATATCTAGAAAACTTTTTTATGTCAAAAAAATATTTTCCCTCCTGGCATTACAAATCCACCTAATGTTAATTTGAATTCCTATGTCGAAGGATTTCTTCTCAAAACCTTGCTATTTCAAACTTTTTTTGAAATAGAAAATGAATTTTTTCACAAAAATCACAATGTGAGTTCATTGTAAACCAATTCTTTTCAATTTAATACCTAATTATATTTGTCTTACTTTTAAAAATAAAACTGTCATTGGTGTATTCAGACTTACAGTAAACTATCATTACATAAATACTTAATAGTAGTTACTCTTATGTTTCATGACTTTACCTTTTAGAGTAATATTTTGGAATATATTTTTCTACTTTTTAGAACATACTTCTTTCTGAAATTGTTATCTCAAAAACTCGCTATCTGGAAATTTTCTTAGTCCCCCTTAAACTTTAAGATATTGAGAGTATACTGTATTAGTAACCTTTAGGTATCCCTTTTAAGTTAGTATCCTTTATTCAGATAATATTTTTTTTTTTTTTTTAATATGAAGGGAAAAAAATTTACTACTGTGATAAAAAAGGTCAATTTAATTGTTCTTTGTATTGTAACAAGAGTAACCAAAAAACATATATAAGTTTATCCTAAAATAGAAATATTTTTTTAAATAGAGTAATAGAAATTTTTTTAATAGAAATAGTTTAAGTATTCATATGCATGTGCTGATTACCTGTATTCATACAATTATCAATGATTTAAAATTTATTCACAGAATTTATATGCAGTCATTCTGAATTTAATTTTGTAACAAGAGCAAACAAACTTTTTGGTTTATTGAATTGTTTTTATCACTTTAATTAACTGCATTAGCTACAAGAAGATTGGAATTTGAATAAAATATTCAAGAACATTTATTATTCTTACATTTTTAATAAACTCAACTACAGCATATCTACAACCCATCAACTAAACAAAAATTATAAATCTGAACACATGCTTGCAGCAGAAAATAATTTTACAGAAATTCTACAGACTTATAACAAATTTAAAGGAACTAAACTTATTGAATTTGGTAAGTACTGCATAAACAAAACCTTAAATAGCTTCCGATCTAGTTATTATACCTTCACACACGAGAACTCAATCTTAATGGTTTAAAAAGGTGACTAGCAAATAAGCTAATTACTTAGTGCAGTAGATATTTTAATAAATGAAAACAGAACATACTACTTAATCTGAATTAACATACCTTTGGATACCTAATAGGGTGACCTGGGGTAATTCCTGATCAAAAAATGCAAACATCTATTTTGTGAAAAAACTATTCAAAAAAGAATTTTAATATTTACTGGAAATTTGAGGCTATATGGGATGAGTCCTATGCTACCTTCTTTTGTTTGAAAATCTAATTAGAATTTAAAAGATTTTAAATTTTTAGTGATCAGGAATTAGCCCTTCTCTTGATCATTTTGGGGTAATTACTGATCACCAGTTTTTATAGTAAATGGGCTGTTTAAAAATAATTATACTATGGTAATTAACAAATAAGACATTAAGATCAAACAAATAAACCAAAAAGATATTTTTAAGCAGCTATTAAAACGTTTTATTTAAAAGCCGGAATAAAGATTAACACTTCAGCTCTGGCAGCAGCTCTCACACTGAAATTTTCATTTTCAATCTTTAAAAGTAATTTGCCATTTTTGCTTTCTAGAAGCTTAGTATCCTTTTGAGGACTATAATTTCTCACCATATTTATATTAGGTTAATTTATCAACTTAAAAATTATTCTAACAATGTTCACACATAAAAATAAGAGAGAAGAAAGGTAAAACAAGCTAGAAATGGTGCATATCAGAACACATTTGTCTTGTATACAGCTAAAAACAAATTTTGTAGTTGTTCCAATATATTTTATAGTTGTTCCACTTAATAAATATGAACTGTTATATAAGAAAAGACAATTAACTGTTTATTAGCTATTTTTTATACTATAAGAAGAAATGAAAATGATCCGGAATTACCCCAGTGATCAACAATTACCCCATCTGATGTGAAACAATTAAACAAAAGCTTACACTATTTTTATATCAAAGAAAAAGAAAGTANTATGCTTTTTTATAATTTTAAGATTAATTTGTTTTTTGAAACTATAAAGTTAAAATGCATATATTTATCTAAATATTTGAAAATAGGGACAAGTAACTGATACTCTTTATAAATATACATAATTTTAATTTCACTTTCTATTAATAATATTATAAAAACATTGAAGACCATTAAATATTTATTCCAGTTTAATTTTATTACAGGTAAAAGTCAGATGAAATTTTAGTGTTTACTTATACAACACTATTTAATAAATAAAAATATTTTCACAGTAAAATTTATGAGCACTAAATGAAAAAACCCAATTTTCCCCGGGTTTTTTCAAATAAAACCCAATTTTCCCCGGGTTTTTTCAATAAAACCCAGGCGGGTTGGGTTTTTTCAAAAATCCCCGGGTTTTTTCAAACCCTGGTATTGAGTATATATAATAATCAATGTAGGATTTGATAAAAATCAATGCATGTTTTTAAAAAAAATATGTGATTTTAAAATTTTTTTTATCAAAATTAGGTAGCAAGGAAAGAGCTGAAGTTAGTCACAAAAGTTAATCAATAGATTGAAAAGAATTTTTGAATGAGATTTTGTGTTCACAAAAAGTTTTTCATTTTATCTAAGACTGCTTAGAAAGAATGTTTTTGAATTGTGGTCTTATTCATTCAAAACTGAAAAATAAACCTGGAGCACAAAGAGCTTCGAAACTCTTGTTTTAAAACCACATGCTTCACGAAAAGGAGGATTTAAAATGGAAGTAAATGAAAATTGATTTTACACATAATGAACAAGAATATTATTGTATGTTTTTTTAATAAGATAATTGGTTTTTTATTTTTAATAATTAAACAAATTAACAGACATAAAAAATTGAAATTTCATAAATTTTCACTTTGACAGTAATTAAAAAACAAAACAGGGTTTATTGCTAAAATGATAAAATATAATTGATTATTAATTTAATATAATTGATTGATTACTTTTAATTTCACATGATGTTTTATTTAAATTACTGCATACTTATAATAGCTAATAATTATTCCTACACCAAAATTTTGAGTTTTGGACAATTGTAGAAAGCTATGTCAAAAAGGAATTTTTAACATGACAATTAAAATCATGGTAAGAAGCCGATAAAACCGGCAATTTCAAAAACTCATCAACCTTGGATTAAATCATTTCTTAATTTATGATCATTAAAAATAAAATTACTTACAGTTCCACCAACAATTCGACCTAAAGGATACCAAGCTCTGTCATCAAACCAGTTTAAAAAATTATAAAATCCATGTTGAACCATATAATGAGTAGCTCTATAGTTAAACCTAAACAAAAATATCAATTTATTTAAATCTGACAAAAAGATAAAATGAAAATAATAAAATAGCAATAAATTTTCAGAAGAAATAAAAACCAATTAATGAAATTAAATAGAACATATTTAATAGAAGTTGATACTGTTTTGAAATTAATATTTGCTTTTATTTTTTTGTTCATATCAGGCTGGTGTCACAATAAATTGTACGTATTTTTATTTTTTTAATTAGAAGTAATTATAATTTCCTTTAAAATATTTTTAAAGTAATAGATTTTTGGCAATACAAGTTCACCACCCATCTATGTTGATCTCAGTTATCTAAAACCAAATTAATTCCATATAATAAAGTGAGTAGCATCTCAGTAACCTTACTACTAGTCTGTCTTTTAAGTTGATCACAAATATTACTGAATGTCATTCTAAATCCTTCATTAGTTGGGCTATAATTTTTTTCAGGAATATACTTTTATGCAATTAGACTATGCATTAGAATTTAACTGAATAAGTAAAAGAGTATTAAAAACTAACTGTAATTAAAAGCTAGCCAAAATTCATTTGTGAGTTATCCATATATTTTTCAACTACATATACCTATAATTTCGAATAGTAACATGAATACAATAATATAAGATAAATAAAACAATGATTTATTTCTCTAATAAGATGACCACAAAAGTAACACAATGCAAGTGGTCTAGTTTAACTTCGAGAAAGCTTTTACAAGGGAAAAAAAAGCATTTGCCTTAACAAATATAATTTTGGGCAATGAATGGGTATTAGGAAGAAACTACAAAAGTCAATATTACATATACATTGTGCGTATGCATTCTATGTGTGTATTCAGATGTGTATGCATTCTAACTGCTTAAAAAGCATTAGAAGGATTTAATAGTATGTTTGACACTAATTTTTGTTTCTATAGCAATTCAGAACAGTAACTTTAAATTTTTGGTGGGAGGAAAAAAAGCTTTAAGAATTTGCATGATAACATAACAAAATAACAGTTTTTGCTGAGCAAAATTTTAATTGTAACAACAGATATTTTTCTTTAGATAATATAATGGGGTTAGTCAGGATTTCAACACGTCAGTTTTTCCCAGGTCTGTCACATCAAACATGTTTTTAACATTTTTAACTACATTTTAATACCAAAAATTTAACCCTACTTTAAACATTCTAATTAATTTAACACAAACTTAGATTGTAGATAAAATTTAATTGGGATATTTTTTTGGTCACTGCTTAATAAAGTAGTAAGTTATTTAGGCATAAGTTCATTTTTATAAAATTAGTGAATTAAATGCATAGGTTGCCCAACACTATAAAGAAATTTTTCTCCTAAAAACTCTATTCAATAAAAAGAGAAAAAAAAAATTCTACAGATGGCCTTAGAACTTTTACTTCAGTTTTCCCTTTTGTTTGATGTGGACAATAGTTAATGCCATGTTTAATGTTTACTTTCTATGTATTGTATATATACACAGCTTTATTTAATCATAAGTCCTCAAAAAAGTAAATTTTGTGATAATATTAGTTTATGAGTAACTATGTCATCAAAACAACATCTAAGTTCATAACTGTTACATTATAGATGCAAGAACAAACCTTTTATTTACATGTATCAGGTGTTTTTAACAACTGTGTAAATAAAAATGGTCCAAAAGATATAGTTTAAATAGTCAGGAGCTCAGTTCTGGTAATATATTTTCCTTGAATTAATTTAAATTTTTATGGGGTTGCAGAAACATAGTAAAAAACTAAATGTAAGTTTATATGTACAGAACAAGTGACAAATAACTATTATTGTGTTAACGATACATCCCAAGACTTGGACGTCAAATGGTAGAGTGTGTGGTACCTTATTAACAATCTCAATGACGCACATTTAAAAAAGTGGTTACAATGGAAAACTCTGATTGCTTTTGATTAACGAATGAAATAGGCAATTAAATCTTGTAATATCAATTTATTAACAGCTTACCAAGGATCGAATTCATGAATGATACTTTCAAAACGAATGACTGCAAAGAGCCTGGAGCTAAAGCCTAATAACCATGCTAAGGTTAAAATAGTAAATTTTAATAAACTAGTCCCACCCAGATGATGCAAAATAGAAATTTGTTGGGAATTTCTAGATCCCTTCAAACCGGCAGTCGCCATTATATTCGATGCCGGCCACGTCTTGTTAACGAAACTGAAGTGTAGTTTTTATTTCCATTTACACAAGAAGTCCGTTGCCATCGCAATGCAGAATTTTAGATGAGGGTGAGGGGTGGAACCGAAGAAGCGCCACAAAGCGAGGACACGTCAGCGGTAAAAAGTGTATCTTGCATGAATTATTTATGGCGTAATAGATACTATTTGCAGTGAATATTTAAGTGCCTTCTCACATTTTCTCTAGTCAAAAGGGGCAACTAAATTGTTTGTAAAATGTAATTTATATATTCCATTATTAGTTCTTCTACTTTACAAAAATAGATAGTTTAAAGCTTTTAATCCTCGGCCATCGGCTTACTTCCGAGTCATTTTTTGTAAGTTATAAGCTGAATTTATTATTACGTTATGTCTGTTTCATAGTATTAACTCTCTTTTTTCATAGTTTGAATTTTTGTTGTTTGAAAAATTTAATTTTTAACACATTGGATAACTTTGATCCTATCATCAACATTTAATCGCTTAAAATGTATGTATGATGATGACAGAAAGAATTTTTCTTTGCAAAAACCGAACGTATTCTAATGTAGATTTTCAAATTATATTTGTTGCATGTTTTATTACGTTTATGTTGATTCCGCAGAGTGAAAAAAAGAATGTAATTCTTCTTAACGCTGTAGAGAAAATGAGAAAGGGTAGCTCGGATCAAGAGTTTATTTTTATTGCTTGTGATTATGAGTTGATTTATCGCTGAAAACTTATATAGGATGATGATAGAAAAGATTTTCCTTTTTGTATAAACTAAAAGTATTTTAATCTAAATTTTTAAATGAAATTTTATTATTTGTTGTATATATATTACTTTCATATTGATTCTGCAACAATTAATTGAATCAGTGAAAAAGGAATGTTGTAGGGAATTATAAATCTACTATGCCAACCTTAATCTATCGAAAGGTACCTCACAATAGAATCAAGTTAACATGTCTTATATACTAGTGATTTGGTATTTAATATTTATAGTGGCAGTTACGCTACATTACTCCCCTTCCGGAATTTTATCTGTGATAGAATTCGATGTACGAATACCACTAAATGATTCATGCTGTTTATTTATATCAATTTAGCTCATTATGTATTTTTTTGTTCTTCATAGCATTTCACTCATTATTTTTATTTCTTCATGTTTTTTATAACATTTTGATAATTTTTTTTTTCAATATTGTTTATTAATCGAGAGACTTTATTTACTTCACCCATTTTTTTTCTCTTTGAGCAGTATTTTTTTAAACAAATCAACTGTAGGAATCCATTGTAGGGATTTAATCTTAGACTATGCCAACCTTCATCTATCAAAAGGTACCTCAGGATAGAATCAAGCTAACATGTCTTTAGTGATTTGGTATTTAATATTTATAGTGGTAGTTACGCCACAATGTAATTCTTCTTTACCTTGTGGAGAAAATGAAAAAAATAAATCATAGCAAGAGTTTGTTATTAACACATGTGACTTTGAAATGATTAATGAATTAAAATGCATATATGATTATGATCGAAAAGATTTTCCAAAACCAAAAATTTAAAAAATGAAATTGTTCTAATGTAGATTTTAAAATTAAATTTTGTTATTACATGTTTTAGTGTGTTGTTCTTATTATTTTCTGAGCTGGGTATTGAATTAAATGAAAAACTAAATTTTTTTAATACTGTTGAGAAAAAGTGCAACCATAACTTGAATTATTATTAATGCCTGTGATTATGAATGTTTATCTTTTTAACTTTATGAATGATTTTACAATTATTGGCCATTTAGGTTTAATATCTATATATATGTTACCGTGATTGGCCGAAATTATGAGAATGTCAACTTTGACCGGTGAATGTCAACAATCACATAGTCGAGTTGCTTTGGTGAATGTCCGAAATATTTGTTGTATCCAATTTAATATTAATTTATTTGTTGATATTATTATATTTATTTGATATTTTAATATCTGCTGAGGAAAGATTTGGAGAAACATCAATGTTCGGAGTATCTGTTAAATGCATTCTGGGCAGTGGCACTTGATCTTAAAAAAACTGTGATGTAGAGCATACCGGGTAAATGTATACCAGCCAGTGGCACTGAGCTTTAAAACACATTGATGTAGGGCATATAGAGCAAATATATACCAGGTAGTGGCACTTAACTAGACATACTATATATTTCAGACATTTACCAAAGCGAATATGTGGTAGTCAACATTCACCAGTGGAAGTGAATAACTTTTAATTTTGGTCATTTACAGCAACATATCTTTGATCATAGATTGATTTTTATTATCAATTTAATACTTTGTGTTGCCTAATTTAATCTCATTTTAATTTTATTAAAAATTTTATTTTTAAAGCGCTATTCACCAAATTTCTAATCAAAATTTTCTTTTCATCATTTTTTATTTCTTTTAACTAATTATATAGTGTGTAGTATCCAGTTTAAAATTAAACAGAGTTCTAGCTTATGATAATAATTTCTATAATTTTTTATTCTTCCCAATTTATGGAAATAAATATACTCTGGGTGTAACAGTTTTGAAATATTCAGTGATGACAGCTTGAAATATTTTCCCCAGGTTTTAAAGTTATTTCATATTTTACTTGTTTTTTATCAAAAAAGTTCAATTTATATTCTATGTTTCTATCATTAAAAATTTTTTAATACTCTTCTCTTCAACTATTGTCCTTTATTTCTAGAATTAAATTTATGGTTTATATTGGAATCTTTTTACTTTTCTCTTTATTTGGATTTAATCCAAGTGTGATTATATTACAATTATATACTTACTATATGTTTTTGTCCTTAAAATAGGTCAGAATATTGGAAGTCATTGCCCCGTAAATTCTGTGATATTTGCAAATGTTGGTTTGCTGATAATAAAGCTGTAAGTAAAGCTATGTAAATTTATGTGAGTCATTATATGCAAATATAACTTTTTATTAAATAAACAGTCTGAATTGTATTTTGACAATTATAGTTCTCTTGTCTAAAAAAGAAATTATACCTTAAAAGGTTTATATTAGAAAAGTTTATTAAAAAATGTAGGGTGACCTGGGGTAATTCCTGATCAAAAAATGCAAACATCTATTTTGTGAAAAATCTATTCAAAATAGAATAATTTTAATATTTACTGGAAGTTTGAGGGATGTGAATATATGAGATGAGTCCTATGCCACCTTCTTTTGTTTGAAAATCTAATTAGGATTTAAAAGATTTTAAATTTTTAGTGATCAGAATTACCTTTGGTCTTGATCACTTCTGGGGTAATTCCTGATCTCTTCTGGGGTAATTACTGATCACCATTTTTTATTGTAAAGGGACTGTTTAAAAATAATTATATAATGGTAATTAAAGACATCAAGATCGATTTATTTAAAAGCAAGAAGAAAGATTAACACTTTAAATTTTCAAAAATCTTTGCATCATGCCATATATTTTAGGCAATCAGCCAACTCATTCTCATGTTCTGCTGAAATATAAGAGAATTCCCACATGGGTTACTTTTGTTGGATTTTTTAACTTCATTAAGGGAAAGTGTAAAGTTAAGTAAGGTAGTCAACAGCTTGGCATCAGCTCTCACACTGAAATGTTCATTTTCAATCATTAAAAGAAATTCACTAATTTTGCTTTCTAGAAGCTTAGTATCTTTTTTAGTGTTATAATTTCTCACCATATTTATATTAGGCAAATTTATAAACTTAAAAATTATTCTAACAATGTACACTCATAAAATTAAGATAGAAGCAAGGTAAGACAAACCAGAAATGGTACAAATCAGAATACAGTCATGTATACAGTTAAAAACAAATTTTGTGATGACAGTTAAAATATATTTTATAGCTGTTCCACTTAATATTCTGTCATTTAAGAAAAGACAATTAGTTATTTTATATACTATTTATACAAAGAAATGACAATGATCAGGAATTACCCCAGTAATCAATAATTACCTCATCTGTAAGGAGCAACATTTGATATAGTTTCCTATAATCAATTATAATGTTTACAGTAGGTGTGAAATAATTAAACAAAAGCTTACACTACTTTTATATCAAAGAAAAAGAAAGTAACTCAAAATATTTATTATTAAAAGAAGGAGGGGGATCTTTGCAGAAATGTGCACATTTTGAAGCCCATCTTTGAAATGGAAAATACAGAAAGCAATTTAAAATATACTTATTTTGTTAGATTAAACAAAAAATTATTATTAAGTAAATCTAGTTATACTTTAGTAAAGTGTACAAGCATTCTTGTCCATGTCTCAAATTTAAAAAAAAAAATAATTTTTTTAAAATAAAACTTAGGTGATCATTATTTACCCCAGAAACAGAGTGATCGTGAATCAGTCTTGAATTCATATTAAACATGATTTTTTTATTTATTTTTTTTTATGAAATATTGTATCCTTGTTCCCAAAACTTTTAAGTTTGGAGTTTTTTATACTATGTTTTCACTTTACATTTCCTTTCTTTTCATTTTATTTTACTTATTTTTCTAGAAATGTCCCACTGCTGCAATATTTTTTCTTCAGAAAATATTATAATTTCGATTTTTTTTACTGTTCTTTTGCATTTATATAAATAAATTGGTCGTTATCGAAATATTTTATTTCTTATAGAGCATAGATTTCCATGAAAGAGGTAAGCGTCACCAAGAAAATGCAGCTAAACGAATACAAGATGTAAGTGTAGTAATTTTTTATTATTTTGTTAACGCTCTATTTTATGATAAGAAATATTTATCACATATAGTATCTGAATAGTGACAATGTTTTTCATGTAGTATTAATAATATTAATTTTTTAATAGATTCAAAAAAGGGGCATTAAGGAAGCCAAAAAGCAGAAAAAATTGGATGATGATATGGCCAAAATTGAAAGAGTAAAAAAACTTTAGCATTTAAGATATTATTTAAAATTCATATAATTAACTGTAAATTTAAATATCTAAGTTTTTATTTATTGTTACTTTAACTAGGCTGCTTTAGCTGCATTCAAAAAAGACTTGCAAAATGAATCTGTGTCAAGTTTAGAAAAGAATTCTGTGAACAGTTCCCTAACTGCTCTTAAAGTTACTAAAACTGAATCTGTTGCCAAAAAGGAAACTACTGAATTACCTAAACCAAAATCCAAAAATAGAGACAAGAAAAAGATTGATCCCCCTAAGACACCGACAAAAATATGGTATGAAGCAGTAACAGAAGAAGGCTATAAATATTATTGGAATACTGAAAATTCAGGTTTGTGTATTTTATTGATACTGTTTGTCGCTAACAAATTTTAACACGCAAATTGAGCTGACTCTTTACATATTAAAAAACCTTCATGAGATTTAAGATATAACAAAAAAAAATTCTATTTCTTTTTTGATCTTCGAAATTTTCACTAAAGCAGTGATAAAATTTGATCAGTTTGTAATGTACCTGACTAATCTGAGAATCCAGAACATGAACAACATGAACTGTTTTTAATTAATAACGAAAATAGTAAGTGCTTATCTTTTTGTATTAACAAAACTTGAGCTGTCACAAATTCATAACTCTAGCCTGTTATTTCCTGTAGAGTATGATAAAGGAACTGAGCAACTGAAAGTCACTCTAGCTGCTGGACAATGGTTTCATATGACATAATTGTTTTCATGTGATATAATTGCATGCTTCCAAGCTGTCATACCAACTCTCTTTCCGGCAGGATGTTTCCAATCCAAATCCACGAGCTTAACATAGTGGTAGATTATTTAGCAATTATTCTGGACCCCGCCTTCAGGATTCCAGCGTAATTGATTCATTCTGACCTACTGGTCAGGTAGTAAATATGAAACAAAGAGAGAGAAGGTTAGACCCAGCAGTATTCAACCAACTACTTATTTCAAATAAAAATTAACTATTAAAACTTACTTGAAAGTAAATGTAAATTTTTATTTATGTTACTCACTGCATAACTATACTGCACAACTATCAAGAAAAGTAAAAACAAAAAGTCCTAATGATAACTAACATCAAATTTTGCTGTTGTAAAGTCAAGTCAAGGCACTTCCTTAAGTTTGACAATCTACTAAAGTCAAATTTAGTGGTATTTATTTCAGTAAAACTATAGGCATTCACTGTTTTCCGTCAATCAAATTTGTTAAGTAGCTAATGTTTGGAATAATACTTACTTGCAACACAGAATTAATATATAGTTTATTCAAAATCAAAATTAGTTGTTTAATGCAAGGATGATTATGAAGCAATTGGTTTGGCTGTATTTGTTTCTGAAAACTGCTTTTTTTGCTTTTAAATATGAGCATTTTTTAAGAAATTTTTTTGAATAAAATGTAAGAAGTGAAAACACTTTTTGTGATAAAAACTTTGTAACTACTTACTAAAAGTTCAGTTAAATTTGGAATCATATTAAGTGCAACATAAATAAAACTTATACCTTTAATAAAGCATCCTTTTACAGCCAAAACATCTTTTCAATTGCTGATATTAAATTTTTTTTGACGTAATTCACTTTTCAATGATTTATAACTGTTTGAAAATAGACAAAGAAATGTCCTCTCATCATTTCCTAACTTTAAAACTTATCTGCATACAATTTTATTTGTATAATTTCAGCTTCATTGGTGAGTAAATCTTATTTTTTGGAGGTGCTTTTCTTGTAAATGTCTACTTATTTTGCTGAGATTTAAGTACTAATTATTAAAATCCTTTTAGAAAGCCAGTGGGATCCTCCAGAAGAAGGTTATGTATCGATGGAAGAACAAACTCAAGCAAATTCAGAAAACTCCACTGAAGTAATTTAATTCTTGAATTTAAAATTGATTCTCTCCTATAAATCTTTGGTGATCTTAACTTGTTTTGATTTAAAGCTATGCTGTAATTCTGCTAATCTTTGAAAATTATGATACAAAGAACTTCCGAATTTCTAGGTACCTTTGTACTAAAAGGTGGAAATTTGCTAACTCTTTACAAGAACAAAGAATTTCAAAATAAGTAAAGAGTTATATTTGAACAATCAAAGCTTTTAATTCAAACTGATCCAATACTTGCCTTAAAGAAAAGCTATAATGTAATATGATATTCAGACTTATTCTAGTTTTCTCTTTCAGCTACCAATATTGAAGAACAATATATTTTTTTGTATGTATTTAACGTTTAAGTCTTTTTATTTAAGAAGTTAAAAATTAGGTTGAAGTCTTTTAATTCAAAAAAAGAAGAAAAAAAAAACAGAAAAAATTTTTTGATACTCTTTTTAAAACATCTTTTACACTTGTTTCGAATAAAAGTTAGAACACAGTAGAGAAAAAAATAAGCAAAGTTTTTTTTTCTCTTTTACTTGATTGCAGGCTTAATTTATTCCATTTTTTTAGTATTGTATAAAGTTCACCTTAAATTTATACAACACAAATTTATTATGTATAAAGACTTAATATTTGCAAATTTTACTACATGTATGTTAGAATAAGATAAATTTTTACAGTAATAATCTCTGACTCTCTGCATTAAGATTGGAAATAAATTTAGATTTATGAAGGTAGTGCTGCAGATTCACTTTGTAAAATATGCTACCTAGATTCTATTTTTCTTACATATTATGATGCTTACTGTAAGTTGCCCCCATATTTTTGCTTTAAAAGGATTATATTTTTTAAGAATCCTATTATTAAAATGTTTTATAATCGTATCATTAGAGAAGGCAAATTCAAATAATCGAAGGTTTCATGCGTAGGTTTTGTGCAGCTATATATGTGACACAAGCTATGCATGTGAACATGTAGATTGCTATTCAAAAGTGTAAAAGTGATATTTCTTAAATCTTAAACCAATATAATTTTTTTTTTAATTTTAAGTAAATTTAACCTTATAATAGTTGTTTTTTTGAAATTTATTATCTACTTCTTGTTATAGACTTTTTTTTAAAACTACGCATATGATATTTCTGAGAAGTATTTTAATTTGAATATAAATTTATAAAATTTTATTTGTAGACTGAAACAACACATAACACCAAAGAATGTAGGAAAGATAGTACAGAGTCTGTTTGTACTGTTGGTCCACAGCCTAAACCTGATCCTTACGGACAATGGGTTACAGTTGCACAGGAGTAAGTTTAATGAATGTTCCAATTATATTTATTTACAGAGTGAAATATAGTTCTTATTTTAATATTTTATCAGTATTTCTTTAAAACTAGATATTTATTATAAAATTAATCCTATCAGTTTTAAATATAAAAGCTATAAACAGTGGCAATTGAAAATTGTCATGTTGTTGAAACTTTATGTTTTCTTTCATTTAATTTCAAAATAATTTAATTAAAATTGACTATGTAATCAAAATTTACTTTAGATAGTGATACTTATTCTTTTTTTAAAAATATTTTCTATTATGGGAGGCGTAAGTTAAGTATTTTCGATAACATTTTTCAAAATTAAAAAAACTATTCACTAGTAAATGTGATGTTTCTTTGTGTTGTACAGTAATATGTCCTTGTTTTCTTATTATTCATAAATGACAATATTTTTTCTGTTATTATTATTGAGGAAATTGATTTGTTTGTAAGAGATTATTTGTTTGTTACAGTAAGGTGTGTGTTAAGTGTGATATGCCTGAAAGCCCTGTTGTTATCTTTTGGTATAGAAATTTGGAAATAGGAGTACTAACCTAGACTCTGTTCATATTATATGACCAGGTCCAAAATTATGTAGCATTTTTGCCTTGGTGATTAAAAGATAGATCCTAGGGAAATGGTCTTGGTCAGTTGGATGTTTTTGTTCTTTGTCCATACAGTCTGTTTGTTTAGAATAAGATAAGAAAAATTAGTTTATCATGCAGATCAGAAGCTGGAATTTTAGGTACAGAATCTTAGAGGATATAAAAGTTCTATAATTTTGAATTCAGCCATTTCAAGTTTTATCTAATTTAAACTGAACATGGAATCACTTTTTAGATAAGAATCAAAATGATGCCCAATGGAACAATGTTTGTGTCATTTAATATATCCGTAATTGTTATATACAAGGTATTGAGTACAATATTATTTTTAACTTAAATTAACCCCGACCCAACATAACAGGGGGCATCCGAGGAAAACTCAAGCATCGAAATGCATGTCCGTGTCTTTTTATTACAAGAAAACAAATAGATCATGATGAACAAAAGATGCCTTCAAATGGAGCAGACCTCAGAGTGACCCTGGGTTAGGTAGGTGTAAATGTACAGATGTAAAGATGTGTTGTTTACAGAGCTTCAAGTTACAACTGAAAAATGTTTCATTAGATAACTTTACATATGTTACATACCCTATTAGGAAGATAATGTGTATAATGTAATGTGTAATGTATATTTTTATACATTTATATTTTAATATAAATATCTAAAAATAGGCTTAAAATGAATTTATTTTGTTGAACATATTTTATTACTCTACAAGAGAACATATTTTATTACTATTACTCTACTCTACAAGAGAACATATTTTATTACTATTACTCTACTTTATTACTATACAAGTATAGTTCATTGTTGGCACAGGGTGACATTGAGGTTAAGGAACCACAATTTCATGACTAACGACATGATCGTGACAATGTGGCCAGCATTGCGCAATAGCTACTTTTACTTCTCAGACAAGCTGGTTCTAATTGTGCATTTAACCACTATTTTTAAAACAATGCAAAATTCAGCGGAAAAAAAAATTTTGGTATTGTAAGTAATTTTATAACTGAAAATAATTTTAAAAATAAGTTATTTTACAAAACTATGTAAAAATACTGAATCAGCTATGAGTTTGGCTGTTATCTATGTTAACTCATAAAGCTATAACAGTTTTATTGTAATTTTAACAATTTTTTCAAAACAATGCAAAATTCATCAAAACTAAACTTTTTCTTAAAAAAAAATGTGTTACCACAAAATATTCTTGGTTTTAATGGTTTTAAATTGATGATATCGAATTTTTTTTTGCAACATCACTTCTATTTTAATAATGTTAGTTATTTTGCAGAGAGCCTGAGGAAATTGATCTGCAATTACCTAAACCCTCGGAAGATCTTGTTGAGGTTGTAATACCTATCGCAACAGATGAACCTAAATTAAAAATCAAAGAAAAAGTAATTGGAAACTTAACTGACATTGATTCTTCTGAAGAAGTTACTTTCAAAAAGAGAAAGTTCCTTGGATCTTCAAAAAGAAACACTAGACAAAGAACTGATGATGATGATTAATGCTTGTCGTAGAATAATTTCTGTATAGAGTTTGTAAATATCAAGATTTTATTTATTTTAAAATAATAAAAAAAAATTTAATCAATTTATATATTTTTAAATTGCCTTCTTTTTGCTTTAATTTAAAAGATGTCAAAAATATTATCATCATATTATCTGCATTGTGATTTATAACTTTTGACTACAAAAAGATAAAGAATTATTTTTTTGTATTTATCATTGAATATAAAACTCAGAAATACAAAATAGTCTTTTGATTGCTCTTTATCAAGGGTTTTCTATCTTTTTTAAATAATGGTAAACAAAAACTAGAAAAAACCAATTGGAGGACCTACATAATGCAAAGCTATACTCATAAAATTCTATTTAGTACTAACATATATGACTCACATATGCATAAACAATTAATTTACTCTAGTGCAATAATGAAAATACAAAAAAAAAAAAGTTTTTTAATATAAATTAATGTAAGCATAAAAGAGAAAAACCAAAATTTGCCTTCGGAAGTCAAGTTTATTAATTTATTTAATGCATTTTGTTTTTATCCTGTATCAAATCAATGTGATGATTGTAATGAAATTTTTAAATTATTCATTTTTTGCACAACAAAATTTTTTTTTTGTGCAATTTTCACAAATTTTGTATGTTTTGCACAAATTTGTCAAAAAGACTACATTTTATTGCCAAACTTTAGCTTTTTACTATAAACAGAACTTGAATAAAATTGTTACAATCAAGTTTGGGCTTCACCAAAATAAAATCTGAACAAGAAAGTTGCTCAACCAATAGAAAACAAATTAGCTTTTTAATACAATAGAACTCTGTTTGTCCGATATCAAATCCTGTGGTTATCCGACACCCCATCGTCCGATCCTTCAGTTATCCGACACCCAATCCTTTAGTTATTATTTATGTTGCCCAATTATTGATTCATTTTTGAACCTTGTATCATCAATTCACTTCAGTTAAGTCTAATTGCTGCTGTGATGATGATGATTTAATTTAACAACTAGAAAACAACAATGAAGATGTTTAAGCTGCTGTCACTTACCTGCCTACAAAAAATTCAACTATGATAAATCAGTAACTAGTAGCAACCAATTGGTAATTTCAAAACTAAATAGAGTAAATAAGTTGTTGCCATAACAGTCACATTATTGTGGCATTTGAGTGAATAATAATAGTCAAGTAACATGGTTCAGTCTGTCTTGAGTCTCTATTAAACAAAAAATTATAAATGATTTTTTTTTACAATATTGTATTGTTATTTATAATTCAAAAGTAAAACACAAGTAAAGATTTTTATTAAAATTTATGTTAGTCACTAATTTTTTTGGTACTTTAATTTTTATGTGCTTACGAAATCAATTTCAAAAAGGTTTCCTGATTATCTAACAATTTTGATTTTTCAACATACCTCTGGTCCCACAGAAATGTTTTTTCCCCCCAAGCTGAAAAAAATTTATTTATTTTTGCTGCTGTTAATTTTTTTTTTAAATGTTTTTTTTTTAATCAATATTTACGAATCTGCAGGAGTCATTGGGCTGTAGATAGTGAATCCTTGTATTTTTATTTTTGAATTATAATTGTTTGAATCCAATCATAATATAATAATTACTTCTATAACTTACAACCTCAATTCAATTGGTTGACCTAGCCTATAATCATGCCAATGAAGGGACAGGTTGCTACCCCCGCCAGAAAATCAGTTCTCCCAAAGTTTTTCTGCGTCAAAAGACTTAGACAGAAAAACTTTTGTACAAAATTGCTCTAACAGTCATGTTGTGCCCCAGCAGGGTTTATTCATGTGAAAATTTTCACATTCATTAATTATTTCTACTTTCATATTCTTAGTTTATTTCCATTTGTATATTAATTTGTATTTTTATTTGTACCTTCAGTTGGTTATAAACTTAAAATTTAGTCTAACCCCATTCTACTGTTATTTAATATGGTGATTTTAATGTTTTAATTGAGTGATAATTATATATCTCTTTGGTTACAAAAACCACGAGCATGGCAGCGGGCACTGCTGATTATTTTTTATCCAAAATTTGAAAAAATGAAAATTGTTGAGACTCCTTTTTAAAATGTCTCTAAATTTATTTCTAATGAAAATTATATTGCTGAATTGAGAGAGCACTGTAAATAGCAAAGTGTAAAGAAAAAATATATCTCTGTCACTTAACCACTAACTTTTTACTATAAAACGATTTATTCTTATTATTTTTTTAAAATATCAGTGCAAAACAAAATTCAAATTCAATTTATTTTCTGGGTAAATTTAAACACTATTAATTTTTTAGGCTTAAGTTTTAAATGTATTAAATTAAAAAAATTTGCTACATATGTGTTAGATTTAGCTGAATTTTTTCAATAATAGTTTTAGGCAGGATTAGGGTTGCATACAAATTTGGATTTAGTAAGATAGGGCTGCAAATTTACTACATAAATTCTGCTATTAGGCTTATCTGCATTTTTGAAACATCCTATCTATTAATATGTGATAGCTAGTAAATTTTGTTTTTAATTTAATTTTTTATTTTTCTGAATCAAACAAAATTTAACTTCATTAACCCTTTGAACTTTTTCTGAACTGCAGCCTTTTCTGCATCAAAAAACTGATTTTTCACCATTTTATTCAAGGAGGAAGTTGTGTGTTGCATGAAAGTTTTAGTATAATATTGAAAAGAGAGCTCAACACTTGCTTTTGGAAAGGGGATTAAACTTTTTCCAAGTAGTTTTTTTTCTATGCTATGTAGTGCAAGTTAATGGTCACCTAGAGTGTTTAAAAATTGTCTGCTAAATTGACACTGGATCGCCACTTTTTAAATTTATGACATGTGCATTTCATTATTATTCTTTTAAAAAAATGTGGAATTCTTATGAATATTTTTAATGCATCAAAAAATTACTTAATTTCGCACTTGCTTTTTTTTTTAAATTTCTGATCGTTTTAAAAATTAACGTTAGATTGTTTACCATATTTTGAGTAATGTTTAAAAAATGAAACATCTATAATATCAGAAATTTAATTTTAATTTTTGAAAAAAAGGCATGTTAAAAAATTGACCATTGTTAAAAATGCTATAACTGGCCAGTAACAAAATTTCCTAATTTTGCCATATACTATGCAACACCAGTATTTCCAGTTGTTGAATTTTTTTGAAAATTTCACTGGCAATTTTAAATTGCTTCAAATGATTATTACATAATTTTAAATAATAATTGTATAAAATAAATAAGGTAAAATAATGTTAAAAGTGCTCACGAAAACCTGTTCACGAATTTGCTGTACCGAAAAGCAACCATATCATGCCCTGATATTTTGGGTTAGCAGGTTCAAGGGTTAAAAGTTGAGGCTTTGTTATATGAATCCAACATGTTAAATAAATTTTTTTTTTAAATGTGGCAGTTGAATTTGACAGTTTTTACCAGTGCTTGATATTCATTGAAAAAAAAAGTATTATTTTGTGATTTTAAATATTTATATTAGTTAAAGAAACTAATGGTAAAATTTTTCTGTTTTCGCAAAACCGTGAAACTAATTAAAAAAAAAGGCTCATGGAAGATAGAGATAGAAAAGAATATTATCGGTGTTTATTGTTTCATAAATTATTTAAATTCTAACATGGACCATGTTGTGAAATTTATGAGGTATATAGTTTTTTGATCATGTTAATTTAAGTATTTTTACTGTTAAAATGAATAGTTTTAAAAAATAAAAATTATTCTAAAGAAACAAAATAAAACTGCAACTTTTCCTTAATAATAAGTATTTTTTATTTTATTTTAAGAGGATCACCAGCATTGTTACAAGAGCGTCAGTCTTATCTTCACAAAGGTATCACCCCTATCACATCAGCTATTTAGCTTTTAAAAAGTATTTCTTTTGAAAATTAAGTTTTTATGTTGAAAATTCACTCTTAAGAATTGGCCTATCCAGTGATTCTTTCGAAACTTTGAGCTAACTTTTCAAACAGCATTTAATAGACTTTATTTCTTTTTGTCCTGAAGCAGTATCTGAATTTTCATATTATTAGTTTCATATCTGTTTTTATTCTTCTTTATTGTAAGCGGATTTCCAAATGTCAGCCAAGCAGGCTGATGAATGGAATCTGTAAAACAACATCAATGGCAATGTTGCATGACTAACAAACATCCACACATATTTTCCAAAATACACGTGTAGTCCGTAGTGCGATTCTACGCTCTTTGCTTCAAAGGTATTTATAATCCACATTGTAAGATTACAAATAATTAGGAAAGTCACAATCTCTCTTCCCGGTTTCTTGTATCTTAGTTGTTGGGAATTGCTACATCTGCGCAAGCCATCAATTAGGAATGGAGTTTGCAGTATTACTTGTACTGGAATTAGTACAGACATGAATATCCTCATAACAGTCTTTTTTTGAAATTCTGATATTATAGTCATTGTAGCTTGAATGAAAAAGAAAGGAAGAGGCACAAAAAGCAGAAGATCATCTAGGAAATGTATTGGATTCAAGCTATAATCTAATTGGGAGAGCTGCCTAAAGCCCAAGATCACACCGATCAAAGCTAGTGTTGTCAAAGCACCTTCTTGTACAGTATGTATTGCAACAGCAACTTCTTGATATTCTTTGATGCTCATCGTGACAAAGAAAGCAATAATTGAGATGATCGACGTCATCAAAATGAACAGTCCTGCGAACAATCCTTTGTTCGATGCATGGCAATCGGCACTGATGACTAAGTTGCTGTGGTAGGTCACTTCTTCTATTCCGTCATTAGTGTGCACTTTGTGATGAAAATGGTGTGGATCAGCGTGGTGGCTGTTATTTCCTATGTTTGTCCACATTATAAACCATACGCCTGCTAGTAAAATATTAAATTCGATTGCAAAGGGGAATAGGTATGGTATGGCTTGAACATTGTTGACGGATAATATGGCTGTTGCTGAGCATATACAGTAGCTGTTGTTTGCTGAACGAGAACAAATAGAAGTATCTAGAAAAAAAGAAAAACATACTGTTTAAAGTGTGTAATATATATGTTACTATGAATGACCGAAATTGGTGGTTGTTGACTTTTACCGGTGAATGTTGACAATCACATAATCGTTTCGGTAAATGTCCGAAATATATACTAGGTCTAGTTAAGTGCCACTGTCCAGTATTCATTTAACCGGTACTCTGAACACTGATGTTTCTCCTAATCTATTCTTAGCAGATATTGAAATATCCAATAAATGTAATAATAGCTACGAATAAATGAATATCAAATCGGATATAACAAATATTTTGGGATATTCGTCAAAGCGACTATGTGATTGCTGACATTCACCGGTGAAAGTCCTCTTAATTTTGGTAATTCCCGGTAATACATGTATTGAAAGCTCCATATCCGGAATCGGCGAGTCCGGAAAATAGATTTTTCCTGATAATAGGTCTTTTAAGTAAACAAACATCAAAACATCCATATATTCAATAAGAAATAACAAACAGACAGTAATCAAAGTCAACTTCAATCAACAACTAATAAATCCGCGTGGTTTGTGTGGTTGCACTATTTTCGCAGATTTTGTTACCGATTTTTATATGGTTTACAAAATTTCGATATTTTAATATGCATTATAACATACCGCAAGTTCCGAATCAGTTGGTAATCATTTTTCAATCCACTGTATTAGCGATGATTCTATGGAGAATCAGTGTAGTTTTGCTGATCGTTTTTTCACTAGTTATTAAAATGATTTTCATCTGGTTTTTAAAATCTCCGATCAATTTTAATACGATATTATTTCTATCGGCAAACTTCGAATCGCACAATTTGAACTTAATTATTGGCGATTCATCCGCAATCCCACATGGATTTACGATCGCATTTTTTGTCAGTTTTTGGGATCAATTTTCATAGTTTTTAATGCTACATTATCATAGACGGGAAAATTCAAATCGTTCATATGTAATAAAATTACTCTTTGGTGTTGGTGCACTCGATATGTGTCCATTTTATTGTCCACGAGGTTTTGTCGATCGCATTTTCAACAATTTGGGATACATAGTCTGTAAAATTTCGATTTAATTTTTAGTATAACATTTACGCGAATCGCACTTTTGAATAATCACTTAATGACCAGCTTTAGACGTCGACGATTTCATCGTAAATCGGCAACTTTTTCAAAAGGTGAAATTTTTGAGCATTCTGAAATTGCGTGATTCTTGGTGGTAATAATCCTTTTATGCGAGAATAGAGAAAAAAGTACACGATTTTTTTCGCACTTTAATAAAATGTCCGATTTCGTTTCCATGATATACAATTCAAAACTGCCGACTATTCTGATTTTTCCAGTAGTCTACTGGATTTTGCCTTTTTCTCTCGTTTACTGATTTCATAAAAATTCTCCTGGGTTTTGTATATTTTAGAAAATTTCCTAAAATTGAGCTAATTTCCTTCAAAAATCCCTATTGAAATACAATTTTTGTGTAGATTATTGCTTGCTTGAATATTTAAATAAGTGTTACAAAAATCAGTTCAAAACATTTTTTGTTCTAAAAATGTTTATTTTTAGTAACTCCTTTTTTAAATTAATTAAACGATCTTTTAACTATCTTTGATGAATTAAATGCCTATTACTATTCAAAATTATGAGTAAACATAAGACATAATATTTCAAGTTCATTTAATGTTAATCATCATTGGAAAATATTGCAGTTTTTCTATTTTGATTACTATAAAAATCCTTAAAGTTCTCTGCTTGTAAAATATTTAGTACATTTTGCGACAATTATCAGGAAACTTATATTATTTTGTAAAATCTACTGGATTTTTCCTACTGTATTTCAGAATAGAGCCGTCCAAAATGAAACTCCTTAATGTTAGTTTTACTTTTTGTGTATTTCTCCATATTTCAAGTGCTTTTTAATCGAATTGAAAAATTCTTATACGCAATTATAAAATTCGTTCATCCAACGATAACACCGTGGAAAATATAACGTTTAGTATATATTTATTATTTTTTATTATTTTACTTTTCATTATTTTATTTATTAATAGTCGAAAACTTTTGAATGTTTAAAAGTATAAAATTTTTTTACATCATTTTAAAGAATGTAATTTTAAAATATAAAATATGAGCGCAATCAGTCGAATAGTTTCTGAACTTTGAAATTTGTTTTCTCAGAAATAATTCGCCCAATATCTCAAATTTTGTATTTGGCCATGTAAAAATACATTTTTTCAAATGATGTTAAAAATTGTATACCTTAAAATTCAAAATTTTTCGATTCTTATTCAATAAAATAATAAAAATTTTAAATTACTCACTAAAAATTCTTTTTGCGTGGAATTATCTTTGGCTAAACGAATTTCAAAGTTGTATAAAAAAATTTTCTAATTAAAAAAAACTCTCGAGATATGCCTCAAAAAGTAAAATTCAAACTTTGGACCATTCTCCTAACCAAACTAGAGGGACCATATTTTCCAGATAGCGGCTTCCCTCTATATTTTGGAGGTTAGAAATCCGAATTCGTCGAAAAAAATGTATGTTTATTCAGAGAAAGTACATTTTTGTGTCTGATTTCGTTACTTAAAATAATGCCTGCTCTAATTAATTAGTATATCTGAGGTCACCCTCTCAAACCATTAAGATTGAGTTCTTGACTGTGAAGATTCAATCATTAGATCAAAAGTTACTCAGGGAGGTCCCTTTATTTTTTTGTGCACTGTACGAACTTTGTTTCTTAGAGTTTATTTGTAACTTTATTTTGTTGCATTTTTTAAATTAAATATTCACTGAGTTGATGGTATAAAAAGCAAGTTCATAAGAAAATGATTTAGAATAACAAATTGGCTCATGAAAACACGAATAATATTTCATGAATAAATAATTTATGAATAAATAAATATAGTAATTTCTCATGTTTAAATAAAGTATATTTTTTATTTTTATTCAGAACTATTTTGAACATAGATGTAAATTAAGTTCTCCACTAAAGTTCGTCTCTTAAAAGTAGTTGTACAGTGTCTATAAGTAAAAAATAGTTTGTAATCACTTTGTTACCGTGCCTGACCGAAATTCACCTGTAAATGTCAACAATCACATAGTCGCTTTTGGTGAATGCCTGAAATATTTGTTATATGCGATTTGATATTAATTCATTCGCTGATATCATTAAATTTATTCGATATTTTAATATCTGCTGAGGATGGATTAGGAGAAACATCAGTGTTCGGAGTTCCGTACCAGTATGNAAAAAAATCCGACACCAAATCTGTCTATGGAGTAACGTCCCCACGGGGCCATTAACTTTCATTTAAATGTTTCATGAAACACTCCAGAGAGAAGAAAAAAATTATTATACGGTGGTGTTTCCCCTTTTTCAAGTAACAAAGAGCTCTATTCACTAGCATTGTCAGCGGTATCCATTTTTTAACCTTACCAAATTCCCTTCACTTAACTTTCAGTAATGTCAGTAAGAAGCGAAACTAGGATTTAGGCTAAAGTTTTTTTTCTGGAAAAAAGTAAGGTAATTTTTTGGCAAGAACGCACAGTTATGGTTTTTTTATTATTCGCTTAATGTGATATACACTTTTTTTCTCTTTAAAAGATTTTTTTTAATATGATTTTTGATATTGATAAGAAATACAGGTCGATAACCAAAGTGTGAAAAATATAAATTTTTTTTTTTTTAAATTTTCACCTGAAAAGATGAGTTGAGTAGCATTTTTCTTTAGATCTTCGATTGTTACGTCATTTTCATCATGATGATATTCTTCTAAAGCTTCTTCTAGAATTGTTCCAAACCAAAAGCAGAGGCAGGAAGCCATTATATGCATCAATGCAAAGCAAGCTAGAACTTTGTGGCGGTTAATAATTATCTGAAATAAAGTGAAGATTACTTCCTACAGCTATATCGTCATCAAACTAGGAGAAGAAAAAAAATCAGTTAGTTGTAAAACACAAGGTTCGTACATTTTCTTAAATTCTGGAGGGGACAAAAGTAGTGTCCTTAATATGTCCTAAATTTCACGTCCCGCTTTAAATCGTTAAGATTTTGCTTTTTATCTCAAGTAAAGAAATGAGGAGTCGTGATAGCTTAGGGGATAGAGCGTTCCCGGGTTCGAATCCCAGCGATAGCTGGTCGCTACGATTTCCTCATCGGGCTCTCATCGACCACCGTACTAACGTAAAATATAAGCTAAATATCTAAAAATGCCTAATTGTAAATACATTATTTTGAAATTTATACTGTGCAATTTGTTGTAGAGCTGCTAGCGTTACATGAAACATTTCTAGTTTTTAAGCTCAAATTCGCGCTTATTTTGAAATTGTTTGATAATTTTTTTTAAATTTATAACTTTAGGACCGCTGCTTACCAAAAATAAAATTAAATTTTAATCAAGGCATTTAAAAAAAAAATACCTGCATCAAAATTAGTGAGATACTTTAAATAATCAAAAATATCTCCTAAGTCAATTTTACAGTTAAAAAAATATAAAAAATATTTAAAAATTATCCCTCCCAAAATTGTCTATGACGACTTGCCTCTTTGTGTACACCCTCATTTAGACGATTTTCTCCTGTTTATTTATTTTTTCCTTGCTCTTTTCTTTCTGTAATTTTTAATATTTTATTAAAAAAATTAATAAAAACAGCAGAAAGAAATTTTTGCTTAAAAAATAATTGTAATTTTATCAAATTACAGTAATTTTATCAAAAATAATTGTTTTCACTCAAAAGCATGCATCCGCATCCCTGCCACTACCGCATTCGTATAGCCGCAACTTTATATATCGCATTCAAGCGATTTTAAAATCAATTGCGATTTGTGTTCACGCTGTTTAAAAAAAATGAAAGGCAAAGTTATCTGAGCTGACTAAAACTGAAAATACTTTAATTGGAGGAAAGATAAAAGCTAGTCATTTCAAAAAGTGACATGTAGGGCATAATAGTTGCTCAAATGATGGTTTTAATGCTGTGCAGGAAAGCATAATTACTGCCTCCAATAAACTTGCCTATGTTTATCATGGTATAGCTAAAATAAATATGATTTATCCAAGTTAGTTAGAAAGAAATAGTTTTTCAGATTTTAATTACACAGTTCTTTATTTACGACGCTTTTCCCTTCATCAATTGAATGTAAGAAGGTTAATTTTGGATGTTTTGTTTTTCAAATAGGAGATTGTTTTTATATGTTTCGCATCATGTAAATATTATGTATGTGTTGTCTATGGAAAAAACTTCCTTCACCATTCGTCTGGAACAATGGCCGTGACTATAGTAACGAGATTTAACTATTTCAAGCAGGAGTGTTGGGTTAGTATTAAAGACATGCTTTGGATCAGGGGAGAGAGAAGTTCTCCTCTTTAAGATGTGCTATTTCTTGTTTCCATAGCAACAGAGTGCCTTAGACTTTGTGTAGAGGGGACTTCTTTCTGTAGACAAACTATACATGTGTATACTTTTCAAAGTTTTAATTTTTATTAACTATGAAATTTGCTCGTAAACCTATTTTTGTATGATTCAAATTTGTTGACTCACATTCAGAATAAATCAATTGCCCTTAAATTTACAAAAAAAATTCTGTTCTTTAATTTTATTATTGAACTTCCAACTCTGAAAACATGAGTTAATGTACCCACGTCATTTAATTGCCAGTTTTTGTTTGGGTAAAAAAAAAAAAAAAAAAGGCAATTCAACAAACACAATTTTTGTTCATACATCAATCCTGTATATCTAATATCATAGAAATATAAATAGAAAATTCCTACATACATTGGAGTATTTGAAGACTATGAAGAGTTGATAAAAGGAATAGGCTGGCCTAATAATGTGATGAATCATAGAATAGGTATCTCCGCAGCCAAGATCTACGCGATATTCTTGTACAAAGTTGATGAATTCCTGCCCCAACATCAGCCCTTCATTGATGAGGTGACCAAAGCAGAATACTATTGAAATGAAGAAGTTCTTATAATTGAAGAAGTTCTTGTAACAAACTAAACTCATCAAAATCACTTAAAAGACATATTTTAGGGAAAATTAAGGATACATTTTAATCTGACCTACTGGTAAACTAGGAAGGTAAATTCAGGGTCACACAAAACAATTAAAACTGTTTTTATAGAAACATCGCAAAGAAATTGTGGCAATCTCCAGATTAATGATTTTTCTCAACTGTTTAAAAAACCATTTGAATATAGTTGTCCAGGACAATTTTCTCTCGCATTGAATAGATTGCAGATTTGTTAATTAGGCGTCACAAATGCTGAGAGGCTTCTTATGTGACCAGATTTCCGAGACTTAGTGAAGTTGGCAAACTAAATTGAAACGCCACAACTTGCACGGACTCTCTTCGAGCCAACACTACTGTCTCCCTCTTTTTTGTGGTTCATCTTTTTCAGTTTGTTTATTATCTCCTGTTCCCTTGAAATATATATTCCTTTTTTATTTACCGAATCTGAATGGACTGATGTCAAAGTGATGCCTTTCCACTGAAATAACATCTTAGAACAAATTTTAACTATTTAGCAGAGCCATTTCCGAATCCCGTTAACCGAAGAATCCATGGTGACTGCCGTGACATAAAATGGTATTAAATAATTATATATGGTATTAAATAATTATATATGGTATTAATAATATATGGTATTAAATAATACATGGTATTAAATAATTGACATAAAATGATATGGTGACGGGTGCTTCCAAGTATTACGAATCAATACTGAACTAGTGATTGATCGTTCTCTGGTTCAGGCCAAAATTATGATCCGTGGATGAATGGATGTAGTAAGATTGGGTCCTCCCTGTAAAAACGGGCTGTGACATGTGCGTGGCGGAAGTCGCATTCTTAGCCATAGATGGGGCCACTGAAAAAAAAAAACAAGAAACGCACCATATGCCTTAAAAATTCGCTTGATTTCAAGCAGTCTTGCTGGTATTGGCAAGTAACATAAGTAACAACCACAACAATATTCCATATAAGGCCCTGTTTATCCTTATTACTAATGTGTGAATTGGACTGTTAACTATGGAGAGCTACGTAACTAATTTTAAATCAGAAGTAATTGCATCTCATAAATTTACTGTATTTTTTTAAATATAATTAAATTTTTGTTTATTCGTTTTGATACTGCCTATTGTATTCTTCATTTTCGACCCTTTTTTTTTTGATGAGCTAGATTCTGACTTTTTCAATAAATACCCGAATATACTTGTATTTATTACCGAATTAATAACTTCTTAAAGGTTTAGTTTTTATACAATATTATAGAAGAGATGTATTGTTTTGCTAAGTAGATCGTCGATGAGCTTTTAATTCTGGACACAGTTCAAATTATCCTCATATGTGTTAATTTTCTTAAACACGCATTTTGAGCTGTGTCCAAAATAAAAAATTCATCGACGAGATTATACTTTTACTCACAGCACTTACAATAGTACTTTTGATAAAACTTGTGGATAAGGTTTTGACAAAACCTGTAATTGTTTATGGTATTAGTATATAGTTAGATATTTATTATTATTTTTCAAGTGTTATAATGCAGTTTCCTACTTTTGTTTAAGATTTTTTCTTCATATGAGACTCTAGTCCCTCATTTATTTTCTGTGTGGTTATTCCTTATTTTCTATCTGTCACCCTTTCAATGAGTGTTAACGGTCGTACAGCATTGTTAAGCTGTGGTTCATATACGGTCGTTATACGAATGTACAGCATCTCTCTGCCGTTAATTTGTTTTGCATATATATCATATAAATGTATCCGCAACTTGTTTAATAAGTATTTTTCTCCTAGGCATCCCCTTTGTCAAATATTTCTTGTAGTATTGTTTGATGTTGGTATGAATGAAAATCTATTTAGTGCGTGTTACGCTTGAATCGAAAAGCTTAAATCTACTAAATGTAATACATCATGAATGTAATTTAAAGTCGATTGAAACTGGTCTTGATATTTTAAACTTATAACCAGTAGCCATGATTGTTTCACCATCGACTAATTATTTTAACCAATAATTTTTAAAATAATCGCTTGTCTATTTTATCTGACAAATAAACCCATATCTGGGCACTGTTCTAAGCATTCTTAAATAGAATACAAGTATCCAAAGCATTCAATGCAAAAGCTTTCTCTACCTTGCTTTTGAAGCATCTGAAGCTAGGCTGTAAGTAAGACAGAAAAGAAAAAAAAATGTTAGCAAACCCATTTCATTTCTAGCTGATTTTGTGAGGAGTAAAAGAAGCTCTTACTATTTTTAAGAATAAACTATAAATCCCTATTCCCAGAATTTGGGTTAAAAAAAAAATTCTACATACATGTTTTAACTATTAACAAAGATCTTAGTAGAAAGCTTTTTGTAAAACTCTTATTGGGGACCATTTGCTCTCCGTTCAACATGTATATGTTACAGTGAATAACCAAAATCAAGAGAATGACGATTTTCACTGGTGAATGTCAACCATTTGGTGAATGTCCAAAATATTTGTTATATACGATTTCATATTAATTTATTCGTTGATATTATTATATTTATTCGATATTTTAATATCTGCTGAGGATAAATTAAGAGAAATATCAGTGTTAGGAGTACCGGGCAACTGTATACCTGGCAGTGACATTGAGCCTTAAAAAATATCAGTATAGGTTATGGTAGAGGCACTTAACTAGACCTAGTATATATTTCGGACATTTACCAAAGTGACAATGTGATTGTCAACAATCACCGGTGGAAGTACTTCCACCGGTCCATTGTGCAGACTGGAGTGCAAAAGCTTATAAAATACAAATTAATAAACATGTATATATATCCTACACCATCCGTGAAATTTTTTTTTTCAAATAACGTATCAAAATTATCGATCGGCGTTCTGCCGCATCTTTAAATGCTTGTTATACGAATAACGTTATGAAAATATTCATCGGCATTCTACTGCATCTGTAAACGCAGTGGAATATGGTTTTTTTAAACTCGACATTCTACGGCGTTATTGAGAAATCGATTTACATCAATTTTACAATGCTGAACAATATTAAAAAAATCTGACGTTTCTACATAGATCAATGTTTCGGAACAACATCGATCGACGTCGTAAGCGAAGTTTTTTCGAGATCAATCGATATGGAGTGCTACTTGGGGTCAACAACCACCAATTTCGGTCATTCACAGTAATATATACAAGTCATTGCTGCATCATGTGGTTGATTTCTAAAACTGAATTCTGCGCTGATGTTAAATCATGTTTTTTGGAATTTCTCAAAGGGTTGGCTATTTTTTTGTACGGTAGGCTTATTGTGCTATAAATTATTTATCAAACTTCACCTGCTAATCCGGCTTTCAAGTAAAAGCTTCCACTGTGTCGTCCTCTCAGAAACTGATACGGTGGATTTTCATTCCCTATGAATGTTGCAGCCATGTTAAAATCTGTAATCGTGCTGATTTTATCCATCTGGTGAGAACCAACTATAATGTTTTTAAAAATCTGTCGCTTGTAACGGTATAAATCTAGATGTAAAAATATCAACCATGCCATCCCAATAGCTGCAATAGACGTGCTAAAAACCTACAGGAAATTAAGAAAAAATAATGTTACATTTGGAAAAGATGCCAAAGAGTAGTGGAAACCAGAGATTGAGTCTCACCTCACTGACATGTCTGGAATCTGAACTTTGATGATTAACGTAAATTACAGCTCCTGTAGCCGTTAAAAGAATTCCATAAATGCTCACGAAAACAGTTGTCATGTTTCTCCTAAAAATATTATGTACTTTCATTTTAACATTCGTTAAGAACAACAATTAAAAAAAGCCAATTACCATAAAATATTGAAAGATAGAAATGTACAGTTTGTTGTGTTCGACTAAGGAAATGAGAGATTTATTCTCATCGAGTGTAAAAATTAGTCCACAGATCAACATACAGCAGTGCTAATTATTTTACAGTTGAACATTAATTTGTATTAAAAAACAACAACATTATTTCATAATTTTTACAGTCAACAGCGTCATCTATTGACGAACTTAGTAATTAATTTTGAAACTTGATAAAAGCAAATGACCTATCTCCTAAATAGAAAGCAGTATCTTTAATTCTCCATAGTCCCGCAGTGGACTGATCATTAAGACACGGTTCCCAGCAGATCACCGAANTTGAAATTTATATAATTAAGTGAATTTAACAACAAAAAGTTATTTTAACACTGCACAATATTTCAACTACGTGTAATAAACAATATTTATTCTTTGGAACATTTTGAAAGGAAGATAATGTTAACTTACTGATTTTCAGAATCTGACCATGTTCTTCACCCAAATCAGAACAAGCAAATGCCAATGTTCAATGGGCTACCAACACTACAAAACTGAATTCTCAAATTTTTTTTTTATAAATTATGAAACTTCAAACCTTTCTAATTCAGAAAAAATCCAAAATAATAACATTATTCTTATTTGAATTTTCCGATGCTTTTCCCCTTTTTCATGGAATCGCCCAATTTCATTTTGTCATAGAATAATTTTTGGCCCTAAAAGAAAGTGTCTTCATTTATTTAAAAGCAATACTTTAAAGAGAGATAAAATACAATGCACGTAATTACACGTAGGTTGCTCAGATTGCAAAACCTACTAAATACGTTTTTGAAGGAAAAAAAGAAAGAAAAGAGTTGCATATATTGTCATGCTAAACATTAGTTTTAGCTTTTATAAGAAAATATAAATTTCTGAGGGTGCGCTTGTAGATAATTGACCAGGTGTGAAGTTGAAATTCTAGTAATCTGCAGTTAGGTCCGGTGGGGATGTTTTTTAATACAATATTTTTTGCAAATAATTTTAGGGAAAAGACCTCTTACTATGGAAAACATAATAATAATTTACTTTTTGCGAATTTCACCATGTGTCGGGAACTTTGTAAACAAAGTATTTTTGCATAAAACTATAAAATTCATTTATACAAAGGTAATTCTACGCATTAAAAATAATTTTTATAATCATTCAATTATATATACATCACTTTATTTAATAAGAGTCGAAAGATTTTGAGTGGTAGGATACAGAAGTTTTTACATCATTTTGAACTACATAATATTAAATGACAAACTATAAATTATGAGCTGACAAATAGTTCTTCAGAAATAAAAATGCACAATTTTTTTTTTTAATTTCTCAGAAACTCTTTATCCGATTTCATTCCAATTTTGTATTCTGCCATTTAAAATGTCACAGTTTAAAACGATATAAAAATCTGTATCACTGACTGTTCGAAATATTCTCGATTTTTTTAAAAATAAAGTTATAAAAATCATAAATAATTATTAAAAAATTATTTTTTAATGGTTTTTGGATAAAAGAACGTCTTTGGATAAAATAACTCTATAATGGTGTGCAAAAATATTTTGATTTTCTTAAATAATATCTGAAATTGGCGAAAAATGCAAAAAGTGATATTATCATTAAGAGGACAAATATTTCGATGGCTCCATAATTCAATAATATATATCGCTTTATTTAGTAAAAGTAAAAAGATGGTAAGATATACTGATTTATACATCATTTTAAACTATATGATATTAAATGACAAACTACAAATTTTGTGCATAATCGATCGAATAGTTCTTGAGAAATTAAAATTGAAAAGTGCGACTTTTTTTTAAATTTCTCAGAAACTATTCGACTGATTTCATTCCAATTTTGTATTCTGTCAGAAATACCTTGTTATTTGGGCCTTCTCCGCTTCAGTTATTTCATTGAGGCTATTACTTGATGCATGTTTTGAAACTGATTCGTTGTACCTGGAAACACTTCTAGGGTAGAGTTTGGCGGTACTGTTTTTCAATGTACTCGCTTCAGAGGCAATAGCTTTGTAAGCGAAACTCGAACAGCTTCCTATGGTGTCGTCATTGTTTGGAGGACTTTTGCCACTGTCCAGAGTACTATCACTGCTCACCGAGTTTTGAAAATCTCCTTCTTTAATGTCTTCCATCTTTAATGAGAAATGCAACATTTTATAAAGAATTTATGCATCTGGTCCTGCTAAAACTGTAAAGTCGTTAAGCAAAAATGCAAATTTTTTATACTTTTGTAAATTAAATAGTAGATGTCCCAGAAATACGTGATTTATCCACTCTCCACACCTTGCCCCTCCCCGTTACCATGGTTTCCACAAATCATACAGCCAGTTTCCCGGCTCAGTATAACCTTGAGGTGCCTATTCTAATTACAAAAGGTATAGGGTTATTCCTTAAAGTGCGGAATCACGAAGGTATTGTGCTCACGTAAGTAATAGGCTTCCGTAAAGTTTGAAGTTAAAAGTTTGTTTCTTTCGTTTCTTTATTAGTAATAATACTTTAAACCATTCGATTTTCTGTATTTATTTGATGATTGGTTTTATACACTAATGTGCTGATTAACTTGATTGTTTAGGTATTGAAAATAAAATAAATAACATTATATTAATCTAAGCATACATAAACCTTGCTGCTGATCTTTCCAGCAAAGATGGTATTTTCAGTTTAACAAGCGCCGTGCAGATTACTCACGGCTTAATAAGCAATGTTCAAATTTAACATTNTGCAGAATGACCCCCGCTTATGTTAAATAGACCCCTGGGGGTCTATATAGACCACTTTGGCGACCTCTGACCTAGAAGGTAATGAACAATTTACACTTAAGCAGATCACTCTAGTTAATCTGCACACTTTCTAGTAGAATAACTGGTTTTTGAAAACATACTTTATTATGATAAGTTTAAGTTTTAAAGTTTTGTTATGACATAGACACTAGTTTAAGTGTCCATAATACGATCATGTTAAAGTTTGATAGTTTAATAAAAAGTTTTTCTTAGCCTTAATTTTGAACGTTAAGCTTCATAAAGTTTTACTTATTAATATGTTTTTTTTTCCTTTAAAAATATTTGATATTATTTTTAAATCATATTTACTCAAAAAATATCTTGTAGTTTACCAAGAAAATTTTGTATAAAGATCTGTACCCACCCCCAATTTTTTTAATATTAATTCAGTAAGACCTTACAAATTTTAATAAACTACTATAAAGCTTTAAAATCATTTAATTCCGTTGCATATTTATTGAAAATGTATAAATATGCTTCCCACAAAGCTTATAAAACATTATAAAAGCCCCATGAAACATTATAAATTGTAAATAACTGGTTTATGAATTATTTTAGCATATCAAAAATTATGATGCAGAATTTATGATTCGTGAGGTATTCCAATTCATTTGCGTATTGCTTGTTACCAAATTATTCTTTAAAATATTATTAAATAAAAAAAGTAAGACTAAAAAAATAAGTACAAACTAAAAAAAAAATAAGACAGAAAAAAGCAAGGATGAATTTGACAATAGACTAATTTAAGATAAAATTTTGTGAACAATAACAACATAGTCAACGAATTACTTACGTTTTAAAATATTTTTTACAGATTTAACAATTTTTAATACTTCCGTAATATTTTTTTACATCCAAAATGATTTCAGAATTTTTCTCATAAAAGTAAGTATTATTTGTTTTTGAAAATTTTTTCACTTTCTTGCTTTGAAAAATAATAATTTTTTCATGGTTTCGGAAAAATTTTCGTGCCTTTCAATCTTTATTTTATAAGCTCGTGCTTGTTTTGATGTCAAAAGTGACAAAAAAATGAGTAAAAAAAATTAATAAATAAAATAAGAAAAATGTGAAAAGAAGATTAGATGTTCTCAGATATAAATCATAACCTTTAAACCGAAATTTTTTAAAAATATCAAAAATCTCCAGAAAGATAAAAACTTTTTTCGATTTGAATTGATATACAATATAAGATAGCTAACATGTAAAATCACTTTTCATCTATTACTTCTTATTGCGTTGCACATTCTGTATTTCTATGTTTAAATATATTTTAAAGTAAAGGTGTTTACTTTTCAAATCCAAGTATTCGCTCATTTTGCTACGATAAGTACATTAACGAAATGTTTGTATGTATAATTTCAAAAATTATGTATTTTATAAACAAAATGATCTTGTTTTTAATTATTTTTTTCTTCTGTGAAAATGATTTTTAAGGGAAGAAAAGAACAAAAATGACAAAGATAAAAGATCAATGGTTAACACGTGAGTGGAGCAAGAGGTGCTTTTATACTTTAGGCAGTTTTTCGAGGACTCCATCGTATTATGATATGATGCTTTTGAGTGAATAATATGCTATTTTTATAACTGCAGTGAGTTTGCAACTGTTACTCATGACTTTTTTTCAAAATGGCGCAAAACGTCAGTATAGAAAAAAGCCACAGTTTTGTAAAAATGAAAATCGTCTGTGGAGTAATTTTTTAAAATTTTAAAACTTTCTCCAGTGCTAATACTATCTGGCCTCATAAAAATTTGCAAAAATTGAGAATACGGCAGTGATTTTGATACTTTTCATCTAGGTGGAAAAATGTTGCCAAATTGGCGATTTTTTAAAAAAGTTTAATAACTTTTAAAATATATAAGTTATCTGTCAGTTCTAAAGCCCAGGTAATTTTTTCACGACAAGATTACATTTATAGTATAAAATCATCGTAGTTGCTTTAAGTGTAAGTCACTCAAACTATGGCTTTTTTATTTTCCTTGGCGACAAAGCTTCGAAAAGCAGCGTTAAAGAGAATGACATTTTGGTACCTATCTACCTTAGTTTTGTTTTAGAATGCATACTATAGGGTTTTATTTTCCTACCAAGTTTAGTGAGATAAATTACTCAGCAACTAAAAAATAAAATTTCTCTAATTCTAAAATTTTCACCATTACGGAATTATCTGTTGTTAAAGGACCCAACTACAGGCTCTGAAAGCAAAATTCGTCCACTAGGTTGCTCAAATAATTACAGTTGTCCAAAGAACAGTAATTACCCAGATTTATTTTTAATTAAAAAGTTTAATAATTATAATGTAGTTAGCTTGAAACAGAACTATATTTTATAATACTATTAATGTGGTTTTATTTTTGTTATATTTAAACTGTGTTTTATTGCTTCAGGCGAAAATCGAATTAAAAAGCACGTTTATTACAAAAAGAATTATTGAAGACTGTATAATAAATTATTTTATATACAAAAAAAAAGTAATTTATCCAATATTATATTGAACTCAAAAATAGCAAAAATGAATAGTTCTTTAAAAATTTTATGCAACTATACTAAAAACTAAATAGGAAATCTTAAAATTTAATGTTTAGAAGAATAAAACTTATTTTCTTATCAACTTTTAGAATAAACTTATTACAGTAATCGAAAAAGTTAACGAATTCATAAAAACTTACCTATTTTCATTTGAAATACATCGTAGCTAAATCTGATGTAAAAGGAGAAGAATTATTTGAAAAATATTTCCCATAGTGTCGACTTTTGAAAGGTTATTTCCACGAATCAATTTTGAATTTCAAAGGTTTCGTAGTTCATATGAAATGCAAAAAGTGAAAAAAATGGACCTTTTTTAAGAAATTTCTTGTTTGAATATTTTTATAAAAGGAAACTTCTATATTTAGAGGACAATGATACTTAATTCCAAAAAGTTGATTTGCGAACGACAGTTTTGTTTCCATTGTTAGCAAAATAGTGAAAATTAAAACATTGACAAATGACACTTCTTTTTTTTATTGTGGAACTATAAATGAAAATAATGTTAAAAACCCCAGTTATGTAATCTTTTGTATACATTTTCCGTCATTTATTTACCGCAGCGTGTGAAATACAAGGTTTCCTAAAGGACGTGGGAAGAAAATTTCCTGCTTTAAATTTCAAAAATAAATAAAACCTATCTTGTTATAACGGTATAGTGGATATGAAATATGAATGAACTCTATGAGCCTCTGTTAACTATATTTCCCACATGTATCATATTCATTCTATTTTTCTATAGTTGTATTAATATTTTTTAACTCTAAAATTATTGCTCGCATTTTTCAACCCATAAATATAAAAAAGTTTACTTTTATAAATTGTTTTCACAAAAATTAATTTTATTTCTTTTAAGTGCGCTTATTTATTTTAAGTGTTTTATTTATTTTTTACTTAAGTTTCTTTTAAGTGCTTTATTTATTTTTTTAAAACATAATTTGTTTCAGTTGCGTTTATTTTTTAACTAGATAAGCTTTTTTTAAAATTTTATTTTGTAACCGTCGTTGGACTGCGGACCCAATTTTGAGTTTACGGCTACCAGTCTTCAACGCCGTAGCTTTGTAATTTTGAGCCCAATGCAGAAGACAAAGGAACTCCAGTATCAAGTATTGGAAGAAATTTCTTCTTCGTAGTGAACTTTCTGATGAAACTAACCCGCATTTGCGTTATATGGAGGGGAAAACCACGAAAACCTACCACGGTTAGTCAGGCGGAAAGGGGACTCTAACCCATGATCTATCTAAAACTGAGGATATTTTACGTCCGCACTGTCATCAGTGCGAGTCGGATGCGGAATTCGTATCCAAATGCCATCGCTGGGATTTGAACCCAGTTCTCATCATTGGGAGGCGAACGCTCTATTCCCTGAGCCACCACTGCTCAAGAATTAGTTTTGAGCCAGGTTTCGAACCAACAATCTCACCAAAGATCCTACCTTAACCAATCGAACTAACAATCTTACCTTATGGCAGAGAATAACTAAGAATAGTGAAAGAGTAACTTAGCAAATAAATTTTTCCAGATACCAAAATTTAGAATCTCCGCTACAATCTCTATGTATCATAAAAAATAAACAACTGTTGTGTTAACAGACTCGTGCAGTTTAATTTGAAAGAAAAAAATACGAAACAAAATGATTATTAAACAAAGAAAATTCATACATGTTTGACTAGCTTCAACATAAATTTAAATGGTTCTTTAATTGTAAATTATTCATTTATCCTGTATTTAACGCTATTGACCCTTAACATTTATTTTTAAAATCTTAAAATCCCTTTTTAATATTATTCTCTGCGCTTTCGATCTGGATTGTTAGTCCTCCTTAAAGTCTTAAAACTAAAAGTGTTATTCCTTAATTATATTAAAAAGTAATTAGGACAAGAATATGGACCTTTTTTGAACTAACCTACATTTGTGTTACACAGAGAGGAAAACCACGAAAATCTCCCATGGTTACTCCGACAGAAAGGAGATTCTATAACATGATCTGTCTACCACTAAGGATATTTTACGTCAGCACTATGAGCTGGGAGCAGAATTCATAATTATCAGCCATCGCTGGATTCGAACCTGGGTTGCCTTATTTAGAGGTGAGCGCTACACACCATGGCTCATGTGCCGCATTAGATGATTTATCGCAAGCTTGATGACGGAATATCTATCGTGATTCTCACCCATCTGTACGAATGGTATGGGCCCTATTTTTTAACCCTTCGAAACATGTTAACTATTAATAACATCCTCATATATTTGAAAGAAAATGAAGTTTTTAAACTATGGTTGAAAATGTATTTCATATTTTTTAATTTTATTTTTTCAAGAATTGTGCAGGCATGATCGAAAATAAAGTTTCGTTTAAATACTTATTTAAAGACACCGATCAAATTTAATCACCAACTACGATGCTTTTCTATTGACTTCAAAATATTTTTTTTTTCAACCAGAACTTTTTAAAACATAACATTTATTAAATTAAGTTTGAAAACAGAAATGTTTTGCGTTCGATATCTTTTTTTATTTTAGGTTCACTGTATTAATTAATTTTATTGGTAAGATAAAAACAATTATTCGTTAAAATCATCCCCCGTGTTATTCTCAAATGCTAGTCAAGCCATAAGACATTAAATCTCATAATTTTTGTAGGGTAAATATTTAAACAATGATTTAAAAAAAAATCTCTACAAACAAATTGAAAAAGAAAGAAAGAAAGACTTGTTATATTTTACCTGTACTTCTTCTAAAGCTATTCTGCTAACTAATTGCACAGGCATGATGATAAACAACTATCCGTTGAAATATCCATTCGCAGCTCCCATAATTTATTTTTTCAATCTTAATTACTCATACCTTTTGTCCAAAATTCAATTGCTGATACTAAAAATATTTCTTTTTCTATGAGTGATAATTTTACTCTTTTGTGTTTCATTTAGTGCAAAGATAATAAATCATTTAGCTATCTCCCTATCACCCAAGTTGGAAAGCAGTATCGATAATTTAGGATAACAGTAATTTAATAAAAATAAAACAAATATCAAAAGGGTTGAATGTGCGTATGATATCGATGATAACATTCTCAAAGAAAAAATATTTAAAATAAATTTGCATCCGTGTAAATTTTACATTGTACTGTTCATTTACATTGTATTGCTCTTTTCGTTGTAGTTAATATAATTTTTATAAATAGTCGTAGTTAATCTGTCATAAAACATAAATTATGGTTATATCTTTAATTGGCTTAGAAATTATTCTTTACAGTGTCAATAAAATTGAATATACTGAACATCGATCATAATTATGAGTATTAAACTCCTAAATAATGCGAAGGTAATAATAAGCGCTAAAATAAAATAATGAAAATAAACACCGTAAAAATTAATTTCTACAATATTTTTGGATACTTTGCAGTTTCGGCTCTTGTGAACTTCACTCACAAACTCTCGAAATTCATCATTTTCATTGTTTCGGCATAAAATATCGATATTCCCCCCAGAAAATGATTTTTTGTTAATTTAGTATAATTATTAAAGTAGAGCATTTTTGTAACAGCTCGTTGTGGGTCAGAAAGGTCATAGACTTTAAGGCTCTACAATTTCGTGATCAACGGCATGGTTGTGGCAATGTGGTCAAATTGAAACAATGTAGAAGTTTTTAAATAAGCAGCCCTTTTTACTCAAGTAGGAATTGAAATAATTTCGGAAAAAAACTATGTATGTTTACTGTTAATTTCGCAATAAAGGAGATTAAAAGCATAAATTGAAGAAGTGCAGAGATACGTATATATTTAGGACACTACAAAAAATGATATTTCTCTGAGAATAATGAAAGCTAGATCATGATTTAGTAGTGTTCATGGATAGTGTTTTCAATATAAATGTAAACAACAACACTCTCGATCTCATGACATGCTCTAATTCCTGTTAGAAAGTATACAGCTGCTTACTACAACTTATTCTGCTCGTCGATATTTTTTTTTAAATTTTGTTTTAATAAAATAATTAATTTCTTTCATTACATATAACTATGTAATTTCTTTTTTTTTAGATATTTTTGTAGGCCGAAATAGCCGGTCGGTAGGGAGCTGGGTCCATGTCCGAGAGTTCGTGGGTTCGAGCGCCGCCGGCCGAAGACTCCCCGTGTAGTTGGTGACTGATGCAAGTTAAAATTCTGTCGAGTCGCAAAGTCCTCCTTGCTCCCATAACAAATCAATACCTCTGGGGGTACTGGATTGGAGATCGATCGTTCTCTAATTCAGGTCAAAATTACGATCTGTGAATGAATTAATGAATGTATGAATTGGTCCGCCTTTTAAACAGGTGTGACGTATGATATGGCAGAAGTCGAATTCTTGACCATAGACGGCGCCACTGAAAAAACAAGAATCGCATACTCTGCCTTAAATTTGCTCGGTTTCACCAAGCAGGCTTGCCCGTGTGGTAAGTGGCATTAGAACCAACCAATTAGATATTTTTGTTTTAATAAAAGAAATTAGTTATATAATTTCTGAGCTTAAATCGGCTGTATTTCATAAGATATTATGTAATTCCGGTGAGTTTGAAAGGAAAATTTGTTTTAGTTATTTATAGACGTGTTGTTAAAAAACGTGACAAGGTTGCTATATTTAGAAAGAGCTAACTTTTTTGGTAGTTCCGATTTGGCCTATTTTTGCTTGTTTATTACTGTTTGTTATTGTTGCAAGCGTCACCATTATACGTTATCATATTGTTCGAGGTTCAAGAATAAGTCAATTTTAAAAATTATCATTTAGAAGTGTTTCATAACTATTCTTTTCTTCAAACGATGGTTCCTACGTCTTGAAATGACAGGTTTTCAAATGACGATAATCATAACTATTCTTTTTTTAAACACAAATAACAAAGGTAACAGATACACGTATACAAGAAATACTACTCAAGAGAGTTTCAAAAATCACCTTGTGAGCCAAATGGCTTCAAACTTCACCGGAAACAATGACCCGGTAGTTAAGGCAGTAAAGAGCTTGCAGTGCACCCTAGAGCAGAAAATACCATCCATAATTTTTGAAGAGCCTCATCGCATAAAGAACAAAAATAAATGGTGTACAAAGTAACTGTACGTTCCACTCTTATACATGGTGCCGAAAACTGGAGCTTCAAAAAATCAGAAAAAGAAGTTAGGAAACTTCTCAAATTAAATTGTCAGAAATAATAAGAATTTTCTGATCCAATTTATTAAATAAAGACCTTTTTAACAAAACGTTAATACCTACTGAGGAAAGGAACTTTAAACAAAGATGGAGATATCTCGGCTATGCACTAAGAACAAATCGAATTTTGCAAGCATAAGGGCACGTAACATCAAAAAGGAAAAAGAGGGAGGCTGAAAATAGTATCGCAAAACTGCATAAAAAATACATTTTAACAAAACATGATCGGTAGGATGGATGGAAATACGTTTCTTAGTCTGCGGTGTTACAATAAAAAAAAAACTAGCAGCCTTCTTCACACTTTGGTTCTTTCCAGTTCGGCAGGAAGTAGAGGGTTTGGCACAAACGTCACATATAAAGTTAACAGCAGAATGAAAGTAGGTTAAACTTACTTTTTAGCACCACAGAATAAAATGCTACCGAAGAAAGTTTTTAATTTATGTATGTTATTCGAACTTACTTATGAACCAGAGACATGAACTTTCGCTAGCAGAGATCCCTTTTAAGAACACAAATGAATTGATAGTCTCGGTGTTACGAGAAAAGACATGGTGACATGGAAATAATGAGTTCCATTAAAGCTGTTTTTCGAAAATCCGTCAATATGAAATGATGCTTTTTTGCTAATACTACTATATTATTTCTGTAACTGCTGTGAGTTTGCAACTGTTACTCATGACTGTTAGGTTTGAAAAGCATTTGAAGTTTAATGTTTTGATATTTGAAAACTCATTCCAATGCTTCACTACTTGGACTCATGAAAATTTGCAAAAACTCAGAATACGGCAGTGATTTTGATAATTTTCATCTAGGTAGAAAAATGTCGCCAAATTGGTGACTTTTAAAAAAGTTTAATAACTTTTAAAATATATAAATTATTTGTCTCTTCTAAAGCCCAGATAATTCTTCACGGCAAGATTATATATAGTTTAAAATAATCGCATTACTTCAAGTATAACGCATTTAAACTGTGGTTTTATTATTTTCCTTGGCGACAGAGCTTCGAAAAACAGCTTTAAGTCTTAGGATTCCCTAATTTTAAAAAAAATTCTTGTTTCGATTACTAACTCGTGTATTTAAATTTTTTTCATTTATTATCATTATCCATGAAAGGATAATCGAAGAAATAGAACCTTCAAGCATTTTGATAACTCTTATTTATTTGTCAATTAAAATCTTATATTTAAATGCTTTTCACTTATTATCATTAACCATGATAAAAGCATCAGAAACAAAATTTTTAAACCTTCCGTCAAATTTTAAATTGAAAACTTATTTTTTCAACTAATAAAAATAACAATTAGTTAATTTTGTTTCTAGTAAATAATTCTAAAGTTTACGAGAAATCAAAGTAGGTAAAATGCGCCAAGTGATTATCTTTATTCCGTATTGTTGTTTTTTCACACTATAGATAAGACCCGAATTCAAAGTCAAAACTTAGCACGTTTATTTGCTACCCAAACCTTGTTATCACAAGTTAGATAATAGATTTTGTTTACTTATGTTTATACTCATTTACTAACATGCTTTAATCAGAATTTTTTAGTGTACTATACAACCTTGAAATAGTTTTTTTTGTTGTTGATAGTTGATTTTTTTTCTCATTGCCAAACCACTGTTCCATTAAAGATACTAAATATAGAGTTTTACATTGTTCATGGTACAAACTATTGCTTATCACAAAATATTACGTGGAAGGTTAAGGGTATCAAGGTTGAAACAAAAAGTAACTTAACTGTTGTGTATCAGACTATTTCATCATTCTTAGATGAACTGTTACAAAAGTAATGTTCCTTCTGGAACATTGTGTCCACTTAAAGAAAACTATCTTCCTTTTGTACCATAATTGGAAGGAAATAAAACCATCATTGTGAACTAAACATTTATGTTAAGTAAGTTGATATCCAGGGCCGAAATAAGCATACGAAACTCGTCAATTGCGATAAAATTGTAAATTTGTCTTGTAAAATTGTGTTTCGGTGAATGATTTTTTCATTGGAAAGAAAAATATACATTTAAATCGATCCTTAAAGTTACCCCAAAAAGAATTTTTCTGAACAAATCAGTATTTTTTCTGTAGATGCGCCGCAAAGTCAATTAGAATTGCTTCCAAATAATATAAGCCTCAAAGCATATTATTAAGAGAATGAAACAAATTTGTTTTTGATCAACAAAGTAATAAATATACTATAATTAAACAAAGTTGCTGGTTGCCTACTGAAACTCTGCTCTGATTTCAATACTTTTAAATAATATTTATTAAATTAAAACATTTGAGTTATTTAAAACAGTAAAAATGAAGCTAATAAATAAATGAAATTAAATAAGTTATTTTAAAGTCAGTATTATTTTCACTGAAATCGGCCAGCCTTTTTTTAAATTCTTATAAAAATTTCACACACCAATAGCTATATTACATAAGTCCTCTTTTGACTAAATGTAAAAAAATGTAACAAGGGATGAAAGTGGCTATACTGATCTGTAAACGCAACTGTTATTACGTACTAAATGAAAAGCAATCAAATGGAGTTAAAAACTAAGTCTGTTGTTAGAATAATAGAGAAACTAAACAAAATAATAAGAAAAAATGTTAAAGAGAGTCGTGGGACACGCAATTATCTGGAAAAGGTAAATACTACGACAAATAAAAATACTTCAATAGATAACAAAATTTTTTATTTCAAAGAAAAAGAAATCCAAGTTTGAAATGACATTAATAAAATGTTCTTTTTACAATGTGTTACTTTCA